GCCAGACTTGGGACCATGTGTCTCACTCACCGATAGGACACTTATCTGGTGCAGAACTCGGGATAAAGGAAAGCGTCCTCAAGAGGCTTTGCCATTTTCTGGGTTAACGGTAACCCGACCTGGCTCGGATTACAATGGTCAGCAGCTCATTTTAATCAGAGATGACTTCAAGTGTCCCTAAAAGTATTTTTGACATCTTGACTTTTTTTTCTAGCATGTCAGGTTTTCTTTTTTTTTTTGTGCTTGTATTTCATATTTTACCATGCGTTGCAGAAATGTCATTAGCTTGTTTTTTTTTGGAGGGGGGGTTGTATGCAGTGTGCAGCGAAGATTGTGACAAAAGAGGTGTTGGCTCAGGGTCTCCCCCTGACCTCTCGGCCTGTAGGTCAAGACCCCGGTCCATTAACCGATGCTAATGCTAACAGCAAGCTAGTCGCCACGTGAGGGTCTGCCCCCACTGCTCCGTGGAGGGCGTGTCGGGCCAATGACTGCATGTTAGAAGGTCACCGGCAGAAGGTTAAGGGTTCAGTCCATCATTATGCTGTCGTCATGCCATCCCTGACGTAGGATGACACCATTTATTTCAGACTTTGGGGGAGGAAGTTTCCACCAGTATCATGGGCACAGAGCAGCTGATGATGAAGATTATTAAGATATTTGATATCGATATAGATATACATTGAAAGTGTCCAAAGTGGATGACTGATTCCACTACAGTCTGATTTACATCGCACTACGTAGAACCGAAACAAAGTTACGTGCTCCCTCTTGCATGTTCCAGGGCAGGCATGGCTCAGTGGTAGAGCGGTCGTCTCCCAGTCCAGAGGTTGGGGGTTCAATCCTCGGCTGTTGTGACCTTGTCCAAGTGTCCTTGAGCAAGATACTGAACCACGCTCATGCCGCACCATCAGTACATAAATGAGGAAAGCGTGTAAAGTACTTTGAGTGCCAAAACGCAATGTACGTGACACCCCATTTACAGATAAATACATCAAATAAGTGAGTCATCATAAGGGCAAAGTCTCAATCTGTGTTAAAAACTAAGGACCATAAATTCTGGGATTTATTAATCAGGAGTGAGGGTTCTTGTCTGAAGTGCACTGGGAAGTCCTTATGCAATTTAGGATGAGTAACAGAGAGAGCCGTCACTATTACTGGTACTAAATTCTGCTTAGACTGCTGGAGAAACTGCTCAGCTGACCTGAGGCAGCCCAAAGGAGTGTAGGGATGAAGAAGCTCATCGAGATAAAACGGGGCACAAAAATCATTTGAACACAAATAGCAGAATCTTAAAAGTGCACCGGTAGCCAGTGTGGGAGACTCAGACAGGAGTTAGGTGCTCCCTCTTGCACCTTCCAGTTAAGACGTGAGCAGCAGGACCGACTGACTGCGCAGTAAAGTCGACAGAAAGTCACAGTGCTGAGCCCTTCGGCACGGTGATGTCATTTTCAGGCGACAGCAAATGGCAAAATGGCCGCCCCCTGAGATGGAAACAAACAGGTGGATTTTACTGCTCATTTCAAATGCCACAAGCGCCATAATTAAATGTCGTGTTTGGACTAGTGGAGGCACATAGAATGTATTACTGTCAAGACATTTTTGACATCCCCTTTAAGGATGAATATTGCCATCCGAGCGATGTCTTACCGAGCACATTCACGGTCACGCAGCTGAACATTGACTGATTCAGCACCAATGGCCATTTAATTAGTGATGCAATGGTATGAGAGCCAACACGCCCACGCACGTACACACACGTAATCCCTCCCTCATTAGGTGCATTGTGGGGATGCTGATGTAATGCAAGTTAATCTGTTGGCCTCTGGTTGGCTCGCTGGCCCAGCGGGAGCTCTTTGTGTACGACATTACCCCAGCCCCGCCCCCTGGAGACTGATTCATTAAGACTGACGCTGATACCCAAGTACCCGGGTCTTTTGTGTGTGTGTGTGTGTGTGTGTGTGTGTGTGTGTGTGTGTGTGTGTGTGTGTGTGTGTGTGTGTGTGTGTGTGTGTGTGTGCGAGCGTCACTTATTCCAGGGATAATGCAATGCAGATGCAGACCATGAAGGCACTACTTTCTCAACATGTGCCCGAGAGCACGTAGGCCAGACGCGTGTGTGTGTGGGTGTGCACGTATAGGTGTTCAAGTCCCGAGTGCATTGAGGCCATTTTGTGTCGAGCAATCAAGCTTTCCGTTTCTTCCAAGTGTCCGACATCTAATACTGAAGGTACAGACGCCGTTGCTTGAGTGGAAAAAACACATATCAGCTACAACTGGAAGCCTCGCCCCGGAAAATGTCAGCCAGAATAAAATCGAAGCAAAATGCATCGCATATACAGTATATGCAGTTTGAAAATCAATCTAATCATCAAAGTTGCCGTATATTTGTTGCTCCAGTGTATATGGAGATTGTTTTTTTTTTCTTTGGCAAAGGCAGATTTAAGGAGCATATATGTATCGAAGTGACGTGTCCGAAAAAATTCTCGGACCGGTCTCGCAAAGGAAACATTTCAAAGCCCAACGACAAACGGCAGTCTTTCCCCCACCGTTGCGGGCCAGATGATCAACCGGGTGTGATGTTTGCTTCATTCCGTATGTGAGAAGAGGTGAAAGTTGTGGTTAGACAACAACTTGTAAAGCTCTGAGCATCCGACGCTTTCTTGTCAAGAAGAACACCACCGTGGTACGGCCATCTTCCGACTCATCCGACCCGGCTCCGTGCAACCTTTTTCCTCTTTCTGTTTTGGCGATGTGGACCACATCAAGATTGCCGTGGCGGGGCTATAAGAGGATACCGGAGAAATACTTCCAGTTATGCATGACGGTTGGCAACAGAAGACTCGGGAAGTGTGTTCGACTCCAGGGGGATTACCTCAAAGTGGATAACTTGTAGTTTGGAGTGGAAATCCAAATTTCTTGACTTCCAGTCTTCAATTTTTTTTTTTTCTGACACACTTGGTGTACGGTAGTATATACAAACGATATAAATACACCTTTCAGCTCTGAGGCGGTTGAGTGGATGCACAAAATAGCATATGTTAATGTTAGGTTTAAGTCTATATTGTCCCAAAAAGAGGTATCCATTATCACCTGGTGGCAGTCATAAAAATACAAAATCAGGCTCCGTAAAATAATTTGAAGTCGGGTTACGGGCCCGAATGACAAAAAGTCTCCAAGGGCTTCACAAGCCCACAGTTGACAAATATTGATGGCGCCCCCTGATCTAAACCAGGCAGGGAAAAATGAGAAACCTTCAGAAGATTTTGGATGATTCCATTCGGAGGAATGGTTTGCAGGCGCTTTTCGTTTGAGACGAAACACTACGGCAATGCGGCACACTTAGCACGGGCTTTAAATAGCGATGTCAAATAAAGTCAGAGGAGGCCTGCGGGGATCACAGCCTGAGAGGGACTCTGTCAGAGCGGCATTCCCCAACGGAAGCCGGCAATTGGATTTACAAATAGCATTCTGTGTGATTGCAATTCCAGGAATGCCATCTTGGCAACGGCGGCTAGCGGCGGCCGTGAACACCGAGTCACCGGGTGATTTCGAGCCAGGAGAACGTGACGGCAAAGCTCAAGCAGAGATGCAGAAAAGGGACAAAATGGTGGCGGGTGAAGGAGCAGAAAGACGCCTGCAGCCCAGCGTAGGACCGGAATCTTCCTCAAGCCTGTCGCCGCGCGCAATAGTTGAGCTTCTAACATCCCTGAAAATCTGAGAAGACCAAAAAAAAAAAAAAAAAGTGAAGACTCCTCCTCGGAAGCCTCTTTCTCTTTGCCACCTCTTTTTAATCGTGTGCTCCATTTCTATTCTTTCTCATCCTTTTTTACTTTTTGACGGCCTTCTTTGTGTACGGGCTGTGGGAAAGTTTCCTGCAATGGTGAGGTCATCCACCACGACACCCCTCCACCACCGTCAGCCCCAGCCACCCTCCCACACCATCAAGCCCCCCCCCCCCCCCCCCCCCCCCCCCCCCCCACCTCACCCCCACCCCAACTTCACATGCTGTCCCCCTTTTTTCCTGACCTGGCTGCACTGACGTATCCCGCGCGCCTCTGTCCTAGTTCCACTTCCACAGCACTCCCCATGGAGGATGTTGACTATAGCCGAACTCAAAGCCTGTATCGGATTATCGCTCCCCTAAAAATCTCAAATAACACAGAAAATGGGGATAGCCATCTATGTGCTACCAGGAGGTCTTTTTTCGACACCTTGAAAACGCTTCATAAAAAATAAATAAAAAAAAAAGAAAGAAATCTGTCTCTGAATTTTTATTAAATGCAGGATCCATTCATTTCGCAATGAGCCTCAATTGATTCACCTCATGTTGCTGACCATTTACTGCCCCCTATTGGCAACAAACCTGTAAATCACCCAAGTTAAAAGTAGATGAAAGGTAAAGTCAGTCAGGAAACCAATTTGAGATTGTTTGTATTGTCCATCGGCTTTCTGTTAAAGGTGTTGAGGCAAATAGTTGAGGCTTGAAGTTGTTGGGGTGGCCAATAGCCCTCCTAGCTCACAGAATAGCTCCAGCCCGGCATTTAATAGCAGCCGACAGTTACTTGAGGATCATTTATGTGATGGCTTCGTCAATCAGCCATCAAGTGGAAGAAACATTTTTGGTCTGGAAACGCAATTATATTTATTCACTACAGTATTCTGAAGATAAATGGTGTTATTCTTTGAACCGTAAATGGTTCATTTGTATCTTCCAATACAGCAAAAGGTTCGACATTACACCCTCCCTTCTCACTCTGCCCACCTTCACCTTTTTTTTTATAATGACAAATGTCATTTTTAGTATTTTTAATTTATTTTTGAGTCAAGTCGCGGGCCGCTGAAAAATGGCCCCCGGCTCGTCGTTTGAACACCCCTGGCTCAAAGCGTTGAAACGTGTGACCCTGAAGCTTCAAATAGGTCCGATCCAGAAAGCATGTGGACTTTTCCTGCAATTTCACTGAAGACGGCGACCCACAATCAAATGGAATACAACACTGTCGTCATCTTGTGTCTTTTAATAAATCATCCAAATCAGATTACATTAAAACCATCTGACCGAGCAAGAGCACGACTCCTGAGTTTATCTGTCGTAATGTACAGAATATATACAAAAAAATACAGATTGTGACATAAATGAAGAATATTGAGGAAAATGACTTTTATACATCTGGATAAATATTGAGAGAAGTGTAAAGGCAAACAAAAACACATCTCATATCCAGGGAGGGGAAAAAAATGTTCTTTTTAAATAAGCATTGGAAGAGCTGAACACATATTTTATGTCGTTGTTCTGGACACTCGCGTCTTTCATATAATCATCTTATTTGTCGCCGGTGTTTGTCGTGACGATCAGTAAGAAAGGTAAAGCGCTCGATGGAGTTTCCACCATCATTTGGAAGTGATATCCTCTGCAAAGCCTTTCGCGGCGGCGCGATGGCTTCGTTACGTGAATGTCGCCATCGTTAGCGTGCGACACGGGAATGTGGTTGACACACTTTGGCCTCACTTCTTGTGTGACCCGATCATGACCTTTGAGACAAAGTTGACGATAGCGCTCGCTGGCTGCTCTGGGTCGTGTTCGGCAAACAGATGGCAAATATTTTCCGTCTCGCTCTGAGATTTCCTCGCTACAAACCCAAATATCCTGCAATAAAGACAAACAAGGATCGTGAAATATGACAACAGAGTCTTCGTATCAATTGAAATAATTGCAAAAAAAAAGCGAGTACACCGGAAATAGATTCGTCAATAACTTCAAGACTTTGAAGAACTCACGCATGCATCTCCTGTACTTCCCACCATGTAACGTGCACGTGCGGAAGTCAAAACAATCCCGATTATTTATGCCGTGCTTTCAAAGTGCCGTACAGATGCGGAGAAAACAAGTGCCGAGAGGAATGCAAACAGTCAAAATGTGTCATAAGAAAGACAAAAACACTGTTTTGTGAATAAAACACAACACACCATTCAAACTGAGTAAGATGAGATCAAAGTAAGTTTCAACAATTTCTTCCAAGCATTTGTCGTTTCCGGAGGGCACACTACGAGTAGTACTGAATCCCATTTTTCTGATGACATCGTCACACACGGTAACGGGGAATTGACTTGACTTGTTCCCGAATGATCAAACACTTACTTTGCAGTCGAAGCATTTCCTCGTGTCCATCTGTGTGGGACAAAATATTTATTAGGTTCAAATGATTAGGCCCAATTAGATTGCATGTTAGATCTTGGGTCTCAGGGTGTGAAATGTGTGCGAGATGACATGGAGTGACGGGGAGAAAAAAAAAGTACTTGAGCCCTTTTAAATAGTGATTCCGATTTATGAAAGCTGGGGGAAAAAAACTAACTATTCAAAGCTCCCTGTGAAAAAGGACTTGCCCCGTCCCGACGAGAAATTTTCTCATCCTTTCGAGAAAACGTTCTCGTCCGAATGAGAAACAATTATCCTCACCTTATCTTCTTTTAGTTGGTCGATGACACTATTTGGTATAGTCCTTGTTTTGCGGAAAGAGTGTACGTCCTCTTTGGCTGAACGTTTCGCATAGGACGAGATAGTTTCTCATCTTCATGAGAAACGTATATCATGTATAGAAATATATTTTTTTTTCTCCATGTCACTTTAGGGGCTCCGTACTTTTGAGCCTGAGCAGCCTTTTCTTTTAATCACAAGCCAAGTCAAAAAATGTTCTTTGCGATCATGTGTTTATGTACACCCACGAGTCTAAACATGGTATTCCGTTTAATATTGCACTTGTGAAATAAGAATTAAGATGACAATTGTGTTTTTTTTTTCATTTTCAGCAACCCAAGAAGAATGCCCCCTGCTGGGGACTGAAACTGACGTCAAAGTGCCCACGGACGGGCTTGTCGTGTAAATGTCACTGCTCAGCTGTTTTCTCGGTATGGTCACTGCAGGTTGGACTACATTTGTTATTATTATTATTTTTATCATTATTATTATTATTCAGTAAATGAAACAGCAAAGTTAGTTAAACACAATAGCCATGCCTGTAGATAACTCCCTGAGGGAATGTTGGATTGGTTTTTATATGTTTATTTAAGTGTCAAAAATCCTCATAAACTGCCAGACTTACTCGACTTAATGTTGAGTAATACTGCAAAATACAATCAGTCATTTGAGTAACACGGGTGACCTGTTCATTCGTCATGCATGCGTCTGATGAAATGTCAACGACAACCGTTCCTGAAGTGGGTTGGTGAGCATGTTATGTCTTGTTGTAGACGACGTCACATGACTCACCTCCTGCCTTGCGGGTCCAGGGAACAGAAAATGACTGTATTGACGGCATAGTGTCTTCTGAAAAACAGCCTGCAGCGACAAGACATGCATTTTTGGTTTTGCTTTAGTCTGACTTTCAGTTGTGGTAGGTGGGGCCTCATCATATGAATCCTGAGCCAGTGACATCTCGGATGAGCTCATTTAGTCCATAGAAATGGCAATACTCACTTCCTCTGGTTATCTGTGAGTGTGATGCCCTGCGATGACACTTTAAAGTGGACAACAGTCCAAGCCGACGGAGGGTCCGTGGTGAGCGTTACCGTGGCGGCTTTCTCAACGGCCTGGTGTCCCGTTAAAGACTCCAATTCCACAGAGCCAAGGTACCACACGTTGCATGCTACCAAAAGACATCATACAAGTCAAAAAGATCCAAGCTGGCTATCATGCCTGAGAGTAGGCAAAAAAAAAAAAAAAGCCCAAAAAGAAATGAATACAGTTGTTGAGGGTCATAACACCAACATGCAACCTCAACTGTTCATAACATTGCCTCTCTCTCTCTCTCCCTCTCTCTCATATATGTGTATATGTGTCTTTAAACTCTTCAAATAGTGTGTAACTTGTGAAATCTTCATTATAACTCTTTCATATATTCTCCGTCTGTGAACGACTTCCCATATCTGACTATTTCCCAAGCGGCCTCAGAAACTTGAAGGTGGTTGGATTTGAAGACTTCATCCACTTGTTGAATTGATTTTTCCTCAGATCAACCTTCCGCATTAATTCCGAAACAGCTTTTGTCCTCTCTGCTCCCTCCGGATATTTTTCGGCAAAGGCTGTGTGTGTTTCTTTTGGAAAGGGCTTGTACATTTGACCTGTTATTGTTGGCTAGTTTATCACCACAAATTCGGCATACTGGTAACCGCTCTCATCAGAGGTAAATGCAAATGAATCTGCCCCGGCATCATGAAATGTTCTATTTTCTTCGGATATTTTTCCTTTCTTAAATTTCTCCATCTTAGGCCTGCCTGAGGGTGAAATTCTCGATCAATGTACGGCGTTTTACCGGGCTTTGGGAGGGGGTGACGTCTATTTTAAGCGACAGAAAATATTACAATCTATAAATAACTTTGTTTACATATTTCGAGACCTTTTCTTAACATACTAGCAACAACATAACAATGGTTCGTACAACCAGTGTTCGTCCAAGTGGTTGGCCGTTACGGAACTCATCTCCTTCTTTTCTGCTCTCGAGAGAATTTTTATAGCAACACTGCCACCAAGTGTACACTCAGAGAACATAACAGAAGTAATCCAATTTTTTTTTTCTCAGACCAATAACATCCACTTCAATCTGACGCTGATCATTTCTTTTGCCGAGCCACGCAGAGCCGCAACATTAAGGATGAAAGGGCCGCATTCGGAGCTAGCGGCTAGGCTAAGCGCAATTAGAGTTTGTCACAATTAACGTACCTGCCCCTTGCTTCAGAAGCTCAGCTGCCGAGTTGGTTGCTGTCTTGACGGGAGAGTCCCTCATTTCCTCAAACGGGTCTGACAGGTGCAAAAAGTCACATAGGAAGTCAAACACGGACATGCCAGCTGCATGTTGTCCCTCGTATTACTGAGGAATTGCATGGGTGAACACTGCATCCACTATCAAATGCTATTTGCTAGCAACTTGCCTTGTATAAACACACTGTATTTAGCTCACTGGGTTAATGATCATCTTAAGCAAGTCATCACTGATCGATTTGACATTCCGTCCTCGTTCATCCTACCTCTGTCAGGCAGAATGAGTTTGCACGGTAGAGCCAGAGATGTGATGGAGTGCTGACACACCAGAGAGGTGAGACTCCCTGACAAGGGGGGGAAAAAAATCCGTATCACTCAACGATGACCATGCCACAACAGAACAAGCAAAACGAACCACACGAGAGAAATGTTTGAATGAGTCACTGAAGTGACCGAACAGACGGTTGCGCCGGATAGCAGACACCAGTAGGGGGAAGCAGTGAGCCATATATCAGTGCAGTCGAGTTGCTGCTTGTGACGCGCTTCACTCAACTGACTGACGGAATTGAATGAAGAAGTTGGCATCGATAATACCGGTCAGTTGGACTGGCGTTGTCATGGTGATCACAAGCTACAGCATGTGATTTGATGGTTATGGTTTTGCATGGTGACGGATCCCCACGTTAGTTTTGTGGCGTTCTCGTCAAATGAGCAGAAAAAGGTTTCTGTACACTTCTGAATTATTTTCCCAGCTGTTGTCATGCGTTCGATCACCGAAGACTAAAACTAAGCACCGATGAGTTTCATTTGACTACAGACAGCAAAAATGACAACAGAGCGTACCCTGTCCGTCACACGTTCCAATAAACGAAACACGAGTCTGTGGATTCAAACCAAAGCTGTTAAGTTGTGCATCAGATGGAGATGCAAATACCAAGAAATAAAGGTTGAAATGTTGCTCTGTCATTAATTAACACACAATTGAGAGAAAAAATATGCCTGCGGGGGAGGGGGGGGGGATTCGCCTTGCGACCCCCCGTTGGCGAAATGTCTGCCAACTGCCAGTGATTCTCACCAAAGAATGGCTCATCGGGGCAGCCTTTGAGACGCACTCCTTTCTGTGTGCACTCTATCAGGAAATGTCTCACCAGCTCACTGGACGGATCTCCACCTGCAAAAACACAAAATATCCGTCGGATTGACAGTCATTTGTACATTCTCCCCAAAAAGGCCTTGACAAATATTATTTCAAGCACCTTGCAAGAGTCAAGGTAAGTGAGCAACTTCATTTACTTGAACCCAAATTCAATGTTTGTTAAACTTAGAAGACTCCCCCCTTGACTAATGTTGTGATGGAAAAGTACCCATGAAACAAGGCGTTTGAAACTGACCGCGAGTACTCGGACGGCCTAACTATAAGCAATATGGATCACTAGGATATAGCAATATCGTCTACATTTGGAACCTACCTTTCTTACTGGGATGCACCGCAGACGGAGGCGGAGTTGCAACTTTCATCGCCAATCCATAAGCCCCGCGGAATGAATGACTGTCTCTGACAATAAAAGAGCCCGGTTCTTTGTCCTTCAACACTGAAATGGCTATCAGAGGGTCAACCGAGCAGGGGCAGAAAGATAAGGCGGGAGTTAGAATGTTTGAATGGTTGAAGCTCGACCTGGCAAAACAGTTTTGCACTCGGACCTGCTTTCTGTTTGGAGGCGACTGTGAAAAGACCAACCTTGATCCCTGGAAATGTCGGGCTTGTACCAGAACTTGGAAGTGTCCTGAACAAACTTCACAGTGTCCTGCTTGCTGCCAAACTCTGAAGCCAAACAGACGTGAAACAGAAGCGGTTAGTCAAATGACAAAAGAAAATGTTGGTTCATGTATACCCCAGATACAGCCTCCTCAAAGTTGGAGCACAAAGAAAGAGAATACCAATGACATAGCTTGCATATTATCACCGGCAGAGGGAGGATATCTCAACATTCAGACAAGAAAAATGTCATTTTCGCATTCGGCAACATCAAAATATTCTCAAAACTGTGGAAAACTTCTTGGCACCAAAATGCGACCAGCTCTTCCACTGTTGTGTTTTCTGGGGTTGAAATCTAAAACACGGCATGCCACAATCAGATTCTCTTCCTACCTGCTCCAGGCGATGGCGTCCCACTGAAAGCTTTGAAGGGCTCGGGGCTCGGTGGTGAGAAAGAAAGACTGAGACTGCTTTCACTGTGAGGACTGGAAAAGCCACCGAGAGAAGGCACGCAGGAGCCAAGGTCGCCACCTTCAGCCGCCCTCCTCTTTTCAGGCAGCTGCGGAGCGAGCTCCCCGTCCCCTCCGAGGCTCGGGACCCTGAGGTCCCCCATGGCCTCCGGCAGGCTGTGCTCTAGGTTGCCATTTAGCGTCAGTAAGGAAGACAAGTCTGTGCTGTCTGACTCCACTCGGACCCCCGGACACACAGCCGGTCCTTTAAGAGCCGCCCGGGGTGAACTGTGGGCATTAGGAGTGCTGCGCTTGATCGGAGTTGAGGGCTGCGAGGGGTTGGACGGTGGCTGGTGCCACATGGGAGGCGGCGTGCAGCTGCGCAGGCGAAAGATGAACATTTGGAATTAGGAGAAACCTTGAAAACAATCGGTACCATCACAATCAGAGTCTACGCAGTCATCCAATCCTCCATCAAGCATCTCCAGTTGGTCCAGAATGCCGCCGCTCGCGTCTTGGCCGGTACTCGTCAGAGGGAGCGCATCACTCCTACTCTGGCATCCCTTCACTCGCTCCCGATACATTTTAGAGTTCTTTTTTAAGATCCGATTATTTGTTTTCAAATCTTGAAATGGCCTCGTCCCACCTCCGAGCTCCTGCATTTTGTGTACAGCACTTTGTATACAGCGGGAGTTGTTTTCAAATGCTCTCGAAATACACTGGAGTTGATTTGAGAGTTGATTTTGAGCACACGTTCTGAGCCATTTGTCAAAGCTTCAAGGCTGCTGCTTTTCATGTTTTGGGAATTTAGAAAAAAAGACATATGAGTGAGACTCATGGTGTGACAAAAAGGTTTGGGGAGCACACAAGAGAAAACAGATTGGAACCACAGTATTAGGATCTATACAGTCAGCTCATTTATTCGGCCTTGGTGAAGCTCTGTGCTGGATTGCACAATTGTAAGTGCGTAAGAGACATTCGCGATGGTTCTCTCCTTTGTATTCATGCTATGATGAAGAATGTCAAAACAGCGTCTGATATGTGCATACCCGTCTGCGTGCGGGAGCGGGCCGCTTGATGACACAGAACACATGGAACCAAATACCCGCGGACAGGAAGCAGAGCTCACGGACGCGTCAGATCTGAACAATTCTCCGTCAATCGAGCCGCCGCTGTGGTTCGCGCTGTCCAGGAAACTTCGAGAATCTAGAAAAGAAGAGAGAAGAACGTGGATCTTTTTTTTTTTTTCAGTTCTGACACTAAAACGCGAAGTGGGCCGGCGTACTCTCAAACTACAAAGGCTGTGTCACTTGTGCATGCACTCAAACGACTTTACAAGTAAGCTTTATGAACAGAGGCGGATATCGTCCTGTACGTGCCAGAAAGGGAGACGAGAGTTTGCTGTTTGATGAGCTTCCATATTTCTTGGACTCAATACATATAACCAAAATGTGCCCAAAAGAAATATTTCGTATTCATGCAGTTTTCAGAATTTGTGTCAATGCCACATTATAGGCAATAAACATGACATGCAGCACCACCAATGGGTCACTTTTCTCACGACATGCGGTAAAATGTCCCTGTGGATTTTGCAATGAAGACAAGGACAGGAATTTTGATCTCCTTTTTTTTTTCCTCTTTCTAATCCATTACGGCGTCAATTTAAAAAATACTTCAAGTCAAGGGATGACCCCTGCCCCCAATTAGTCCATTCATTTGAGGTGCCCTCTGCACCGCGCTGTACGTTGTCACGTAATACGAGCGATGGGATGCAGAAGAAGGCTCAAACATCCCGACATGACATCCTGACATTCAAACAATGTGCGTCATGCAGTCGACATGAATGCGGGCCTCCTCGGGCCACAGGCGCGGGCCTGAAGTTCTGTGAGTCACTGCAGAGAGAGTCAAAGGGCTCCTTGTTCAGACACACGAGCAAGCCCGCCCCCCCCCCCGCCCCCCCCCCCCACCACCGCTCGTTTTCTTTAAGGATGGAATCCGAGATGGAGGAATTTGCTTGGGAGACGAGCCTTGTTTCAACAGATTTGACAGCAATGCATCGCCTGGAGTCGATGATATAACGGCACGTGTGCCTTCAAGCGATTCCTCTTTGATGGCATCCATAAGGCGCGAGAGGACTTGAAAGGTGTGACAGCGAGTGGTGGAAAACAGAAACTTTGTCATCACTCCACTGCCATAGTGCGATCACAACTACGTTGATCTTTCTGTCGTATTAGTGAAAAGTATCTCCCAGCATCTTTGAGGCTCATCTCTACTTTTCAGGACCGTCTTACCGATATTTATCGTCATATTGCCCGTCTCGAGATCGGGGCATGACATTTCCCACAAAGCAGTATGACAGCAACCGGTGATGACCCCACATTAGCCCACATCCAAAAGAACAAAATATTCCAGGAATTGGAATCAGAAAAGTCAATGGATGGTGTGATCCGTTGCGATTTCTCACGCAGTGGATAGAATAAATACTTAGGTCGTCGTTATAGCTTGGATAAGAACTCAATGTTCTCAGGCTAGTAGCATAGCATAGCATAGCATGAGATCAATTCACATTTGAATGTTGGAAGGCAGCTACAGACGTCACGGGATACTTTTAAACAAAGGGAAGTGTGCGCAACAGCAGCATGCTCCACCGACATGGCTTTGCATCTTCTCGTGTTGCACATCAGAAGTCCTCGATGATCCCCGTATTTCCGTCCATGTTGGAGTGTGCGGCCATCAATTGTGAGGGTCCAAAAATCAATCAAGCTCAGTGCCCGCATGCTGTGCCTTTCCCTCCTGCGACTATTCAAAGCTGTCAAGAGTTGCGACAGAGCACCCCACCTGACCCCTCGGAGCTCCTTCGCACCTGGCCGGTGCCTCGGGTCTGCAGACCGGACACTATTCGAGGTACCAAGAACTAAGCGGCGGCTCTGAAGGGGATGGAGCCTTTTCCGTTGCCGCTCCCTCTCTTTGAAATGACCTCCCGCTGAACATTCGGCCAGCCCCCTCACTGTCCATCTTCAAAAATGGTCTTCAAACTCATTTTTATTCTTTGGCTTTGGACTCAGCATGAAACTTGATTTTTAGTCGGACGTTTTTTGTGCTTCCGACTGTCTTTGTTTTTCATTTGTTTGCTGTTGTATGAATTCTTTCTGCTCCATGCACAGCACTTTGAATACAACGCTGGTTGTTTTCAAGTACTGGAGAAATACACTTGAGTCGAGTCGAGTTGAGATTCCACTGTCCTCCTTTCATGTTTGGACCGCCAGCTTTGGTGACTCGCCCGCACGGCAACGAGGAGGCCAAGTTACAAGCAGCTGAGGAGCGAGTGAGCAATAAGACCCACAGAGGAGGCGACAAACGTGAAGAAAAAGTGCGATGGGACACAAAGCGAAGAGAAAAAAAAGTTACGGCAAAGACAAATAGTGACATCATGAACACTTGAATCAGTGGAGATCCAAGATAGTCTGTGGAAAAAGGTTGCAGACGTTGGAGCACGTTTTTCAACAGATTCCAAATTCCGGAGCCTTCGTCAATCTGGTTAGGTCATCATGGAGGCCGGCCGGGGCCTTCGACTTGCGGTGTGCAGACACTTTTTTATTCCAACTGCTCGAGGAAAGCAAAACCGGAAAGCTTGAATCAATGCAAATTTCAATGCCGCAAAATCAAAGACATTGAATGACGGTTGTTGCGGCTTTCAATGTCCAAGCCAAGCATTTGCTCGACGGCACTCAACGGATCGACCGAGACTCAGAACAAGCAAAGATCTCGGAAGGAGAACCGTAGACTTGGAAACGTTGTGCATGTCTCTTCGAGACATCTGCAAACAACTTCAGGTTCATTGGTCATTCATTCCAAATTATTTGATCACCCAAAGCCCCCAAATGAAGATGACCATCGCGGCTGTGATGACTGCGACGGCAACTGTAAACAGTCGCAGAGCTTTTCGAGAGGAGTGACAATCGTGAGCATTGACCAGTTGAGATGCTGTGAACGAGGTTTCCGTATACAAAAACTCACATAGCGACTTCAAAAACAAAGTAGGCGGACTATTGTAAGTAAGTTGTAAAAAGTAGTCCAATTTCTTGATGCCTCGGACACGCCGCACACCACCAGGCACCGCCGGACGCAACTGAACATGACAAATTCCAGTCGACCAATCGCACGCAGAAGAATTAAGGGCACCTTTGTGTCCTCCTTCAAGAAGAGATTGGAAATGCTTTCGGAGACAGGGAGGAATATCACGAGAATAGCGAACGGAGTCTCCGCCGTCTGAGCGCCTACGTACCGAGGGATGCGGTCATGATGTGACGCGAGGCAGGTTTCCTGTTTGCCTCCAAATCCCCTGCCTCTTTCCGTTTCTCTCTGTGTTGTACCGCCTGACGACTCCCTGCCAGCGACTCTTTCGTCTCCTCCTGTTTACCGCTGAGAAGAAACCGGACCCGGCTCCATTCAACTTCTTTGGCAGGGGCTGGATTGTGGCGTCGCCATGGCCAATTCCTTCGTCCCACGGATGGAAAAAGAAAGTCTCGGTTTGTTCCTACTTGTTGTGACACCGCTCGACTTCTGAGTTTCCACGGAGGAAGGGACAGAACGAAAAGGGGAGGGCGCACTGAGAGTTGGAGACGAAAACCCACCTCCCCTGCACCCGACCACTAAGCATTGCGCATTCTTGGGACGCTGGGAGCACTTTCCCCCAATCGGAATGAATTACAAGGGTCAAAGGTCACATGTGGCCTTTTATGGGCAATGGAGGGAAAAAGGGGGGTGCTGATGCTGGTGAATTGGAGTGAGGAGGGGGCAGGGGGGGGGGCTCTGTTCGGGCATGTGTGTCCTACTGCTCACAACAAACACTGAGACAAAGGCATGCAGACACAAACTGACCATGTCTGCTGCCATGTGTCAAATCTTGGCTCCATTGGATGGAGATGGAGATATATACGGTATATGGATATATTTATATCCCCCCCCCCTCAGGTTATTTGTGATTCCAGTAAAGACTGAAAACATGACATGAAAATACAGTAATTGAAAAGAGAGTTTGAACTGTCCCAAAGGGTCAAATTCCTTCGCAGACAGTCATCTGGCTTGAAAGCGGTAAACAGGAAGCAAGTGTCTATCTGAATCGACGGACATTTTGGGGAAAAAAAGCAAAGCTGAATGCCTGCTTGTACTGCCGCTTCTTTGCTCTTCTTGACATGCGTGTCCAGTAAACAGAGGCAACCTTGAGGGGAGTCATCCCATCTCGCTAGCGGCAGATAATACACATTCAAATACCATCAAAAATATCAACCTCGGGTTTGGCAGAAACAAATGCCATTCGGAAATAAGATGACATTATAATCCGGCCGACTGATTTTTATTTTTATTTTTTGAAGAGTTTGCTGCATTTATTTTGCCGTCTTTTCCAAAGCTTTGAATGATTCCCTTTTTTATCGAGCGCACAAGAGGAGCCATTCTGATTTGTTCTGTTTTATCAGTTGAAGCCTTTCCTATTTTTGCTAAGTCAGCATTTCCTCTGGCCGGTAGCCCAACACGGTTCGGAAACGAAGCGCTACGAGACCAGCGATATGCCTACTCGGTCAAATGTGAGAATGAGTCCAAAGCATGCCCCATTCGAGCGTATTTTGTCATCGAATGCTCTCAAGTCCATTTCTGACATCACTGCAAATGCCTTCACTGGTCTCTCCGGATGTCCCCGCAACAAAAGACCCGATCCCACGTCCCCTCCCAGAACAGGATGTTTGTGGACATCCTGTCAGCAGTGGTCTTCCTTTATCACCCTAAACTATTATTAGCCATCCAGTGTCAGCTGTTCTGCTGTTGTGGCACGCTTTATCAAAACGCTCCACGGGTCAAGAATTACAGCCTGCTCTTCACCGTGCGGTTGAAATCAGCGTCATTTGGACAAAGGGCGGCCCGGTATCAAGGCGGCTGCATGCGTATTCACTCATTCGGATGGCGCCTAATCTTAAAAATTCCCTTTGTGTGTTCCTCTAGCCACTGCACGTAGCATTAGCAAAAACAAACAAAAAAAAAAACACTCCCATTTTTCTCAGTTATCAGTGTTAGCTAACAACGCTGCAGCCTTGCATAGACTTTGACAAAGTGTTCACGTGCAGTGCGGCCATTGCTCGACAACGGAACTGCGGAAGAGACTCAGCGTGAAGGCAATATTAGGTGAATTGGCCAAACTGTTGTCTAAATCTGGCCACATCCAGAAGAGTTTCCTTCAAGACCTATTTCCATAAAAACTTGCAGGAGCAATTTCTCATCTTCTACTTTACTCGCTGTGCAATTCCAGCCAATGTTACATCCAATGTTTTCTTTTTAACTCACCACCAAGTCTGCTTTTGCTTATTCTACAGTGCAAAAAATACATTTAAAAAAAATCGGTGGATCCGGATCCAGATGACTTTATTTTGTGCAACCACTTGACGAAATAAAACGGAGTTAATTCAAAAAGCGCAATACAAATAAAGAGATATTGTATGAATAAAGTAAGACTGTCGTGCCAATTAAAACCACAGGAACAAGACCTTTCCCTGCCTTTCCGCAGACATGATTTACCCATAACAAAGTCATGCCTACTTTGTCCACCAATTGCAGCAACGTCCTTGGCAGGTGAGCGCGTGTGCGCGTCTTATGCCAAGACAACATTCCGGTCATCTCTTGAACCCTGTCTGGCAGCCATCAGCCAATGTTTTCCCTACCAGTCAAGCAGAAAATCTTGTCGACATACTTGCACTGGTGCATATGTTAAAAAAAAAAAAAAAAAAAAAACGGTCATCCGCTGCTGAGAAAGTTTACCTTGTGTCCAGCTGCGTTGGGCCCACTGGCCAACAGTCCTCATCTGAGAAACCTCTGAAATGTGTTCCACTGGGAAGAGAAAAAGGACACTGATAAGATTCCAAAACACAGCAACAGCCACCCGCAGCGACATGTCTCCATGTTGATGTTACTTCTTACCATAAGGCGTTGCGGGAGACACTGGAAAGGCTGGAGTTGGGGGCGCACATTCAGAGCTATCACTTTGGCCGCCGGAGATAAACTGGCGCATACACAAATACAAGAAGCAGGAAGGGATAAGACAGGGGCAAGACAGAGCAATATTTTTCCCCCTACGCTCTTATGAGGTGATAAATCCACACACATATCAGCAGATATCAGTCTTGTGATGCGTGTGCATGTGTGTGTGTGTGAATACAGACTGTTTTCGTGTCAACAGACGGGCTATTCATGCCAGCCAACAACAGAAGCGCAGAAAGGTCAATTCTCAAAAAAGGAGAGACAAAGGGAGAAAAATGCACCACTGGGTGGAATTTTTCTTGTGATTTTTTTTTTTGGAACGAGTTTAAGATGACTGCTGGGGAAAAGATCATGAAAACAGTTGTGCAAGGGGTGGCCTAAAACATTTGCATCATTTTCTGTTTCAACAAATCAGGTACATGTCAGGAATTTAAACCAGGGCAGATTCTTGCCAACCACATACCGTAGTTGGTGGCGCACATCAACTTTTTGTTGTTGTTTTTTTTTTTTTGCATTGTATATTCCTGACCATCGCATTTTCCAACAATCAGTGCAAAATGATTCATGCTCGAGTCAAATTTGGAGTGAATGAGGATTTAGGTTTGCTAAAAGAGTACCCTTTAGCTGGACGTAACACAAGAAAGGCAGTTGTATTTACTTGAAGAGATAGTCAACGTGTCACCCCAACAATTGGATATCAGCCATTTTCTTTTAGGGATTGCCTCCCTGAACTTTGACCAGACTCTTAAGACTTGTGTTTAAGGTGACGGTGCATTGATCTTGGCAAACGGGGGTGCCTGCATTTGGTGAGATGAGCTGCTGAAGTGGTCACCTGTGATGGCAAATGGGAAGGGGTGCCGACCAGATAGGCCCCAATGCTTTGCGGTCCTGCCCCAAGATCATGAAAACCCGTTTTGAGCGTCGAAAAACTCGAGTAGTCAGTCACGTCGCTGATCTGCCGCTTCCAGCCTGCACACGAGCAAAGAGAGAAGCCCAAACGTGAAGAACACCAGCGTGGGAGGCACGTCAAGGGTCGTCGGACAGACAAGGATCTGAAATGTCATCCATCCAGCCATCCGTTTTCAACGCCGCTTATCCTGAACAGGGTCGCAGGGAGTTGAGAAAGAATGATCCTCACCTTCTCTTCTTTTGGTTGTTCCATGACACTATTTGGTACAGTCCTTCTTTTGAGGAGTTTTAAGTCCTCTTCTGTTGCACGACCGTTCACAGGAAACTAGCTCGTGCAGATAAAAAAAGCTAGCGCTAGCGAGGAAAGACGCTTCTCATTCTAACACTAAACATATTTTTCTATTCTTTTTTTTTTTTTCCTCCATGGTGAGTTGACCTCAGACCTAAAATATTATGATCCGCCGGAAGCAGCATTGGAAATACACGATAAGGGTTGGTTTGCTTGGATTGAAAACACACACGCACGCACACACACGCACTTTGTTCTATTACTGATTTCTGAAGACATCACATTAAAACATTTTTTTGAAAAATGGTCACCTTAACCACAGTTTTTTTTTTTTCTTTTTTGGGTTCTGAATGCGGCGATGGGATTCGGCCTCTGTTAAGTACAGTGCTGGAGCTATTTTGTGAGATAGAAGGGCTGGTGGCCACCCCAAAAACTTGGAAAATTTCTCACCTATTTGCCTTAACACCTTGAACAGAAAGCTGATGAACAACACAAACAATCTAGAATTGTTTTCTTGACTGACTTTAGCGTGTTGCAAAAACAGTGACGAATTTGAAAGCGGCCCTTTCATCCTTCCATTTTTCTGTAGGCGACCCTCCAAAGAAAAAGTTTGCACACCCCTGGTTTATAAGATTGAGATGCTCCAATTATCAAGACGGACTTGAGAAGGCATGACTGCGAGCAGATGGTGCAAAATGACGAACATCTGTTGGGACCGAACTCCAGCAAGGAGTTTTCCAGATATTTGCGTGTCGCACTGACCCCACCGGTATCGAAATGCGGCAGACTGTGGAAGCGAGCCAACGAGTGGAACGTCTTACCAGTCAGATGGGCGTTTCCTTGATCACTGAGGCCACCGCTTCGGACGGAGGTGGACCGCGACAACGGGGCGCAGGCAGCGGGAACAGGAACAAAGGTGGGGTCCAGATCTAGAATCAGTTGGTTTAACTGCTCTATGGAGTCATCGACGTCGAGCGATAACGACGCAAACTCTGCTTCTTGGGAAGGCGACGCATCTGTGTGATGGGTTGACTGCACCGTGTGGCAAAAGTCCGCCTTTTGTGTCACTCCGCCAGTGTTCGCCTCTTCCTGCGGAGCACCCTGCGCCGTTTCCTCGCTGCGGCGGCGTCCTCTGCTCGCCGTGCGAGGAGCCACCCATGGGGATGGCGTCTCTTTCCGCGGTTTTTCTGAGCCGCACTCCCCGTTTGATACAAACTTGTTTTGGGATTCTATTTCCCGCCGAATCCGGCCGCGAGTGATGTCGTCGTGGCCTAATATTGGCTCTTCCGGCAGATTCTCAGGAGACACGGCGTCTGAAGACGGAGCCGCATCACCATCCTCATCTTCCAATATATCAGTCTCCCTTTCACGAGACGAAGACTCCCCAGTCAACGCTCGTCCCGAGCAAGCCTCATCTTTCGACATCCCCTCCGTTGTTCCTCCGCATGCCGCCAGCTCAGTCATGACCGCGAGAAGAGGCCGAGTAAGATTGCCAGCTTTCTTCGCGGTGTCCTGTGCTGCTAGTAGCAGCGAACACAAAGGCCCGGATGAATGCTGGCAGATACCATCTGGTCACCGCGGCGAGAGGAATGAAGATTCTTGAGTCATAACTCCTCTTCTTCGTCCCTGGCAAATGAGCGTCCTTCTGTAGGTGTTTGGCTGCGAAGACACAATCGGCGCTTTCAGTGCCGCGCTACAAGACAGATGGAGTTTTTGGCGTGTCGGAGGATGGCGTGCGTGTGTGCGTGCCACGCAAATGAAATGTCTGTCACAGAAATCTGACCGAGCCGACCCGTTGATTGCTCACGCACGCAACACTGAAATCAGTCAGTTCTACTCACTCTTACTGTGAAACTTGAACAGACTCACACAGTCCGCACACTTTTTTCACGGCTGGTTTGTGGCGCTTCAAGTTCAGGTAGCTCTTGCAACAATATGCCCAGTGCATACCAAGGACTACATGAGCGCAGCCTCTTAAGTGCAGAGAAGCAATAAATTCCAGACACGCATGGTAAGATTTCACAGCTGGCCGACTAGATCTCTTCCAGTGAACATTTCAAAGTCGGTTTGAAGCGTCTGTTCCAGGAGAGAGTGCAACATTCATCCCAGTGCAGCAACAGCAAAGAGACGACACGCCAAATTGCAATCAACTGTACCTGCAGCCAGGAGAAAACTTTCACTATTCCCTCTGCAGACTGAGCAGAACAGTAGCGGTGCTGCTTGATTTCCGCCTCCTGTCGCACGTGGCGACGAACCAACAGAGGATGACCAGCCGGAAGGAAAAAAGATGCATAGGCTGAACAAAAATGAGAACTGGTGCGACGCGGACAGATAAGAGTGCCCTCTCTTTTTCGTCTGACGTCCGCTCTGCTTGCCAGCAGTCAACACGGGCAAACAAGCGATTGACTTACTCCGAAGGTGTTAAGAGCCCACCCCCAGTCCTCCCTCCTGTCTGTCTCTCCCCCACCCACGTCCCTACGATGCTTCTTTCCTGTCGCCTCGGTCCCTCCCGAAGAAACTCCGCCTTCACCGGCAGCACTGTTTGGAAAAGGGCCTGCTTCGCCGAGTCCCTTCCTCTGCTTCCCCCCTGCATCCTGTCCCAGTGGACACAGGTATCTGCACACAAAGCCTGAACTGGGCCAGAGTGCGGGTAAGCAGCGATCATCCATCCGGCGTTCAAACACCGTCACATACTACACCAGGTGGAAAAGCTCAGACTGCACACATTTATGTCAGCAATGAGAAAACAGCCTGTGAGAGGGCCTTGAGCTGCTCAAATATGGAGAAGGGAATGTAAACATGGGGGGGCGGGCTCCAAAGTGGCTTGTGTACCGAAGGGGGAGGGGAAGGGACAAATTGCAATGTGAAACTTGAACCTGAAAAGGCACGAGAGGAGCTAGAAGTGGGCAGACGGGAGGCAGGTAAAGGGAGAAGACGCCAGGCCAAGTGTGTGCCGCGGAGATGGGGGGAGAGAAATGAGAGAAGGCGGGTTCCGAGTGGGCTCCGACCTGTGGTCAAAAAAACAATATTCTGCAAACGGGCTCCCGAACATGAAAAGAAAAACTTCAACATGCTATTGTGACACGATGGACAAGTAGATTGCACTGCCACAAGAATCTTCAACTAGTTTTTTTGGTTATAGTTAATGCTCTGTGATGACTCGCTGAAACTTATACCATAACAGTAATTTTAATAAAAAGCAAAAGAAAGCAAGAGCGTAATAAATGAGGGGGCCAGGGGTGGTGTGCAGTGGGGGGGTCACAGCAGATAACAGCATGCATCATACCAGCTTTGTGAAGTCACGAGTCCCGCCCTTCCAGATCCAGATCTAGTTTAAGATGACCTTGTCTTTTATACCTGATAAAAAAACTTATGCTCAATTTATGCCATGATCTTTACTGATCACTCATGCAAACACCAAATGGCACCAATTGATTCGTAGCCTGTAATCCCGTTTTAAAATAAAACTGTTATGAATGGGTGGAGGCGGATACACCGAATCTGTGCACAGTATCCGATTTTAACCCGACGGCAACTCGAATCTTAAAACCTGTCAACCGCGAGTGAAACGGTCATTGATGTTATTTCCTGCCAACAGAGGCCGCCACACGACAATCTTGTTGCACAACACCGCCCCCATCTGGGGATTTGTTGAACTTGATGAATACTCGGTTACTGTTGACTTCTGTACAGAATTGGCTGTCTCATGTTTGTGTAAGGGTGCACTTTCTTCAACTCCCACTGAGACTTCTTTTCTCACTTCTGTTGGCAGCTTCTTCCACTTGTGTAACAGCTAAATACGGCTTCCCCATGTTTACTTTGAAATCTGGGCTCGTATCGAACCGAGAGATCGTTCTAGGAAGCTGACTTGTTTTTGTCACCATCGCTGTAACTTTCCGAGCCTTTGTGCGACCCTGAACGCACCACATCACATATGCAATGAGACCCGCCCCGCCGAGCGTGGACAGTCTCCCATCCGAATGTCGGACAGACGAGGACTCGCCTTCTACCGCAGGCTTCCATGACGACCGACGAGAGCCGCCTTTGAACGCCTTCAACACGCCGGTTAGCTACCGCTCGCTCACAGCAATGGGATGATGGCCAAGGAACGATTTGCAAGAACGACGGAGCAGCATCTTAGCATGCTTGGCTAACGAGGAGAGCTAACGGCTCGGCGCTCGCGTTGGCTAGCCTCGGCTCCCTCCACCCGCGGGCTTGTTGCTAACTGCGCCGCCGCTACGGGGATGGAACGTGCGAAGGAACACGAGTGCGGCGCTCTTTCAACTTCGCAAACATCACCTGGGACGCCAGAGTGTAATCGTGACGGCGCTCACGCCAAATCGAGCGGATTCGCAGCTCTGTCTTCTGGGAAGCGACCATCCGTCGGGGATGATGAAGCCGGAGGCGCCGAGGCAAAACTCTTAGGGAAGGGACTCGCCGCCACCTCCCTTCTCCAGATTGCCATCAGGAATGGGATCTACCAAAACCACGTTGCTCACGCTTTCGGCGGCGCGGCCAAGGCCATCAACATGCCCTCGGCGAAGTCGGCGAACGTGTACAGCATTTCGTCCGTCAGCAGCAGCAGCGGCGGCGGCGGCGGCAGCAGCACTACTTCGAGCAACACCTTGCTCAGCAAGAGACGCCAGCGGCACAAGAGGAATCTGTCGCTGGGCTGTGCGCCGACCAGCTGCTCTCCCGGCTTGCCTTCCGCCGAGGCGGCCAGTGTCGCCCCTTCGGCCTCTCCACTGAGCACCCTGAGTCTGGATCGGAAAACCTTCCTCAGGCAGAAGCAGTCAAAGCAGCTTCTGGCCTCCGACAAGGGATGGGTGACATCGGACCTTAAACGGGGCTGTATTCACGTCCACGACTGGCTCACGCCCTCCTACCCTCGACCGGTACTCTGCACAGTGGATACTCAGGCCACGGAGGTGGTCAGCAAGCTGGAAGCAAGTAAAAGCGAGGGTGTCTTGCGAGTCACTCGTGAAACTCTTGCGACTATTAATTCTTGCAAAGACCTGAATGGACAGATCGGTGATATACGTCACGGGCCATCAGATCCAAAAGACATGAAGACGAATGAGGCTCTGTTGTTAAACAGCAGGACAAAGCAGCGTTGTTTCAAGTCGAACCTCGTTTCAGATGACAGATTTGCAAGTAACTCTTCCTCAGAGGTTTGCCTGAATGACATCGGCGCGGATGTCAACACCGGTGCGGCTGACTCCTGTGGCGTGTACTCTGGATCAGATTTGGAGAACAGCACTTGTGACGAGGTCAGCCTCGGAGGACCCAAAAGCATACTGCAGCAGGACTCCCTGAGTGAAGGCGCAGGTTTGCCGACAGACTCGTCAGCATTGAGCCCAAACTGTGACAGTGCCACAGAGGGACCGGACCCATTCGAGAGCTCCTCTGATGAGATGGAGCTCACCTCCTCTCCGACACCTTCGGCCAGCAATTTTCCCGCAGAGCCACCCTCACCCGCGTACCTCCCACACGCTCCGGAGCAACTGAAAAGCACGCCGGGAGATGCCGGCGGGGCCGAAGCCGGCGATCGTCAAGATTCAGCCGACCCGGCGAAACCTTCCTCCAAATGCCGCAGCGGCTCTCAGACTCGACCTCTGAGCGAGCAAACATCAACGCAGCCTGAGCCGCAGATCGATGCCGGGAGCAGGCGGTGGCCGGAGCAGATCAATACAAGCCCGACGCCGGCTCTCTTTGTCCAGCTGCACGGTGGCATTGTGCGCCGTCTGCGAGGGGACGAGAGGCCGCTGCAAATCTTAAATGAGTACCTCACCAACTTGGGCTTTGAAGACCCGTGGCGGGTGCAGGAGGAGGGAATGAATCCAGGCATTGGCAGCCTTATTCGCTTCTACTTTGGTGAGTACTGAGGAGAAAAACAAAAATCATGACTGGATTTGCATTTCACCTCTGCTGATTTGCACTGGGTGTTTTTAAATTTGGGATGCCAAGCTCGGGTCCTCAAGGGCCGCTGTCCTGCCCGTTTGAGACGTCTCCCTCCTCCAGCAAACGGCCGGATTACTGGAATGCAAAAATGAGACCAAGATAAATCATTTCAAAACCTTTTCTATGGTTTATGTGGCTATAGGACAAAAGAAAAAAAAAGTTGCACAAGTGCGCACATAATCCTCAAACTGGTAAATTGGCACCCAAGGACGAGGCCGGTTTTGATCCTCCAAACCACTGAAACATTTTAGTCCGTGCTGTAATTTGCAAGACCTCACGGCATTCTAAAGCACCCGTTTTGGGTCTCGACAAAGACTCAAAAGGTGATTGCTTGGCCTCATACCCGGTCTGAGAAAAAGTGTTGCCCGCGCATCCGTACGAGCCACAAAGCGTCCTCTCTCTCTGCAGGGAAGCCTCGGAGCGTGGGCGGTTCGGAGCGCGTGCAGCTTTCCGGGGTGTTCAACGTGCGAAAAGGGAAGCTGGTGCTGCCTGTGAACCGCTGGTCAAAACGGCAGGTCACCCTGAGCGGAACCTGCCTCATCGTGTCATCCGTGAAACACGCCCACACGGGCAAGATCCACGTACTTCCCCTTATTGGAGGCAAGGTATGCAGCTCAAGTCGCCGCGTTAACTCCGGCGTTTCACAACTTTGACACGCTGAGCTCTTCACGGTCGTCATCCACAGGCGCCTCCGCCTTTGTGTCACTCATCAATTCTGTTCAATTTCTATCGTCACACAAATGATGTCAACAAAAAATAGAGAAGGGGTTTCTGGGACCACACGCCTGCTGTGCACGCAGACCCGACAGTCCCGCCCACCAGCAAGCGCTCGGCTAACAGAGTCTCACCAAAAAAAAAGCATTGAGCAGAGTCACAGCCGGGGGCTCAAGACTGACACCATTTTGGTCGCCCCGGCGACCGCATTTCTCAGTGGTCTTGAACTTGCGTCTTGGGAACTGGAGAGTGATTTTTCAAATTGATTTTTAAATTGAAATTGGTCAAAAAGTTGACCAATTTCAAAGTGGCCCTTTCATCCTTCCATTATTTCTATCGGCGGCCCTCCAACGAAAGAGTTTGCGCTCCACCTTTTGTATATGTTGAGAATGAAAAGTTCTTTGCTTTTAACCCGCCGGCCGTTTGCCCGCTTGCAGGTGGAGGAGGTGAAGAGGCACAGCCACTGTTTGGCGCTGAGCTCCGCCGCTCCCCAAAGCCAGACCTACTATCTCAGCTTTGACTCCTACACGGAGCGCCTTTGCTGGCACAGAACGGCCTCCAAGGTGCGAGGCTTTGACCTTCTCAAATGTTTTCACGACCGGCCTCGTTTGAAACGGATCCGGGCCGTCTCACCGCACTTCTTGACCGAACCGCCTTATCCTATCCGTCCTCCGCTAACGCCAGATTGCGTCCCAGAGGGTGAACTCGGTCGACCTGTCGGGCTGCAGTCTCGAGGAATTGCCCACTCAGCTGTTTCACAGTCGGGACCTCACACATCTCTGTCTCAAAAACAACTTCATGTCCTTGCACAAAGGCATCCCGGCGCTTACCAGGTGAGTTTCCGCGACTCATGAAGCCTCGGCTGCCATGTTTTGGGGTCTCGAAACACCAAGTGACAAACGGCCGGGCGAGAATCATGTTTATTTTCCCCCCGTTTCCTTCTTTGTCCTTCTCTTTTGGATGTAGAATATCTGCAAATTGTACGTCCTCACTGGGGGCGGCTACGTTACGTCGGGCATGATGGTTTCGAGTTCTTGCCATTTCACAATAGTCTACCCCAGTTTTGATGCTCACATTTGTATCCATCATCTCGCCATCCGCAACATTTTTTTTTTTCTGCACTCAGTCCTGTCTGCTTTCCCACATGACTTGACCAAAAGTGCCGCGCGGCGCCTCGCCGGAGGTGACCGATGACAGCTCTGCGGCATTCTGTCCCCCTCACTGCAGGTTTTGTCAATTGCGAACCCTGAGTTTGTCCAACAACGCGCTGTCCGAGTTCCCGCTGGCCTTGCGCGACCTCCCCTCGCTGACCGAGCTCAACTTATCGGGAAATCGCCTTTCGTTCCTTCCCGTGGAAGTTGGACTCATGCACACGTAAGTTGACCGGACAGAAAACGTTTCTATGCTTCGGGATTCCATTTAGGACTGCGCGGTTTGGACAAATCCTCAACTGAACACCTTGAACAGCGAGCTTATGAACAAATACAACGCATCTGGAATTGTTTTCCTGATTGGCTTCAGCGCGTTTGAAAAAGCTGACCGATTTTCAATTGGCCTTTTCATCCTCCCATTTTTTTTTTTCTGTATGCGGCCCTCCAACCACAAAGTTTGGACACCCCTGTTTGGAGAGCTTTGCACGGTTGACCATAGCATGTTTCAGGAGAGGCCGTTTAGTTTTTTTGTTTGTTTGCAGCCTGCAGACACTCGTTCTCGACGCAAACCAACTGAGTTCATTGCCTGCCGAGCTGGGCTCCTTGGAGGCGTTGGTCCACCTCGGCTTGTCTTTCAACCGTTTCACTTGCACCCCGCCTGTCCTGGAGAAGCTAAACGGGATGGAGAGGCTGTGTCTGGCGGGAAACCAAATCTCCGTCGTGCACATGGCCGGCCTGCAGCGCTTGCCCACTCGCCATATCGATCTCAGGTAAATGGCGCATTGATTGCGGACTCTTTGCGTTCTTGCGTTGGCGCTCTGTCGGCGTGCTCGCCTTCTGCCTCGGGCTAGGCTCGCAGCATTTTGGGACAACTTTTTACTGATTTATTTGCTGTCGAATCAGAGTCCAAATGACAAGGTGAACTCAGGAGCATAGGGAATCCATTTTTAGAGATTTCAAATGGCCTCAATTTCACCTGGACTCAAGCTAACTCAAGTCACCGGTTTTGATGACCCGTGACTTAACTGGAAGTCCAGTCCAAGTGCTCCCTTGCTACGGAGAAGCACGCCGGCGGCCTCGTCGTGGCTCAACTCTTAATGCTGCGTTCCAAACAGAAATCTTCATGCGCCCCGGGGCATGAATTGTCCAAAGCACACTAAGGTGTCGAGCGTATTGACCAACTGCCAGCTGACTTTCCTCTGTTGATGATGTTCACTATCATATAGGCTGAACCGGCTTCAAAGTGTCACAGTGGGAGACACCAAGCAGCTAGCCCACATCGTGCAGCTGGACCTCAGGGATACCGGTCTACGGGAGCTGGATGTCAGGCCTCTCTCTCAACTGGAGATTCTCTACTGCGACCGAAACCGACTCTCCCTCCTTCGAGTCAACGGACACGCCCTCAAGAGCCTGCAGGCCGCGCACAATGGTACGCCGCGTCCGGAAAGTATTGACGGCGCTTTGCTTTTTTTCCACTTTGTGTCACAGCTCCATCGTGACTTTTTGTGGCGGCAAATATATTCCATCAAATAAATAAGAAATCGCGTGGACGTTTGTGTTCACGGCTGTGCATCCCGTTTCTGCCGATCGTCGTACAGCTAATTCGAGTCTGCCTGTGGTGAATTCTCGAGAGAGAGAGAGATATAAATAAGACAATAGCTTTGGTTTTAATTTCTAACACAAAGTGCACACCAGCATGTCTTTAAAAGTTACATGAAAACTAGATAAATGGCTCCCGAAAGTGTTCTACCTTACATAAGGGGGGGGGGGGGTCAGTCTGACTGCAATGTTAATGTTTCACTTTGCTTTGATTTAACTTCAAACAAAAAGCAAAGTGCATGATGTTCCAAGGCTCAGCAGCGGCTCTTCGAAATTTAAATGAGAAGCGATTTCAAATGAGGTTTCCCCAATTTTGAGATGATCTCTTGTTGGCCAGCAGATAAAGAGGAAAAAAACAAAGCTTGTGACAATGCCAGTATGTGATAAAATGCCAAATATCGGCCCGGATGATAATCCCACACTCCACGTTGAACCACACCGAAATGTTTGCGCCAAGCTTGTGACATCAAAAGTCCCAAAAGTCTGTCATGGATGCCCAAGGTGAATCGACCAAAGTCTGAATATTCATGTGCAAGTGATTCTATCGCACATCCCCAGAAAAGTTTTTCTTCATGTATATTCCATTTACCGAATGTGTCGGATGCCCTCTACGAAGACTCCCTCTTCTATATTATCGTTGTTTCTTCAGGTTATCAATATGGTGTTTGTGATTACAGAGCTGGAAGAACTGCAAGTGCAGCCTGTCCCAGAGTATCTGACCGCCCTGGATTTGTCCTGGTACGAAGACTCGGGACAAAACATGATGCCCTGTTTACAGTGTCCGCGAGGCAAAGAATGCGTGCTGAATGTTGACTTGTTTCTCTTTTCTAAAAGGAACAAGCTCGGCGTTGTCCCCGATTGGGTGTGCGAAAGCACGAGATTGGAACACTTGGACATCAGTCACAATTCTGTGACTGAGCTGCCCACGCAGTGAGTATGACACCGATTACAATGCGAACGTGCCAATTCCACAGCGGTGCCGGGAGAAAAAAAAAGCACACGTCAATCAACACTTTCTTTCTTGAAACTGGCAACTGGCCCTGTGATTCGCACATCGGCGGACCTTTCCGTCACCGTTGCCCTGCCAAAGCGGCGCCATGGAAAAGAAAAGCGGAGGTGGGGTGAGCTAAAAGCTAGGCTAAATGCTAACGCCTTCAAAACCAGATGTTCTGAGTCCCTTTCTCGCCAAGTCCCGGTCACTCAAGAAAATAGAAAAGCTGCAACTGCAGGGCACCCCTCGCAGTCGCCGTTTTGTGCGAGGATCGTAAAACGGAGACTCGGCTGGACTCTGGCATTGAGCTAGCAGACCAGCTTCGGAGCAGATCGAGCGGCGCGGTTTGCTAAGACACGCAGAGGAGTGTGCGTACACGTGCAGATAGCGCGCTAACGCCGAGCCACTCCACGTTGTTCTGGTGCGGAGAATCACCGCGGTGGAATCACGAGTCAACTTGATGATGCGGTTGCTGGCACGGGTGGGAGTGCAGGCTTGGGTGTAAAGTAGGGGGGGCTCGACACACTGCCCTGAGGGGCGCCGGTGTGCTGAGGCGGATGGCTTTTTTTTTTTTTTTTAAGTAGCGTACTCGCAGGGAGCCCGAGCTTGATGTGTTTGTGCGTCCTAGGTTGCTGTCCAATGAGAACCTCCGAAAGCTGCTCGCGGGCTGGAATGCTCTCGGCCAGCTGGGCGAGAGCCCGGACGCATCGCAGCTCCAAGTCTTGGACTTGCAGCACAATCTTCTCAATGAGCTCCCCGACAATCTCTTCATCAAAGCCCAGAAGTGAAGACAACATTCTTTCCGTTTCTTTTGATTTGCTCCGCCCCCACGACGCTGATGTGTGACGGATTTTGTTCCAGCTTGCGCTACCTTAACGCGTCGGCCAATAAGCTGGAGAGCCTCCCTGCTGCAAGCCTTTCGGACGACACTTCAAGCAGCCTGGAGGAGCTCTACGTGACCAACAACAGCTTGACAGACAAGTGCGTCCCTCTCCTGACTGGACATGGCCACCTCCGAGTTCTGCACCTTTCGTACAACCAGCTGCAGACCTTTACCGCAAGGTGAAAACCACAACTGGAAAAAAAAATCTCATCAGGTTGACTTTTTGGTTGTTTTTGAGCCAACTGTTCATAGACTTTGCTAAGGACACACATGATGGAACTGCTTTCTGTCCCGCTGTAGCAAACTGGCCCAACTGGAGCATCTGGAGGAGCTGGACCTGAGTGGCAACAGACTGAGGTCTGTGCCCACAACTATCTTGAACTGTCAGTGCCTGCAAACATTGTCTGCACATTCCAACTGTATCGCTACTTTTCCGGAGGTCCTGCAGCTGCCTGAGATCAAGGTTTGTCATCACCATGTTGTTTCTTCACTTGGCGGGCCCAAAGTGTGTCTCGCATCACCGTTTGAGGGTCAAACGCCACCAAAACTGCGTGCGCTGGTTTCGGCGACTCCTTTTCATCAGACGTTGACCGTCGGCCACTCGTTTTGCTTCAGTTTAAAATGTAAAATTGCCGCTGAGCGGTGTTGCGACGTCGTAGCTGTAATAGCCGATCAACAAGGCAATTGAGCTTTCTAAAAAAAACAAAACCTGTAGGGACTAAACAATGTCCCGAGCAGACTCGACCCGCTTACACAAGGCATTTTCGAATCGGGGTGTGCTCATCTTGATACTTTGGCAAAAGTGGCAGAATCCCCTCGTTGGAAGAATACGGCGCGAACAATATTGCTGGCATTTTCCACACACATAAAAATCATCCAATTGAGCAAAATGGGACGCATTCCTCTACATTGAGACAAAAATCATCCCATGAGATGACAAGCCTGATAGCTGAGCAAAACGGGAGTGTACTTGGAGGGTCCGGTGTGATTCACGCGACGGGCCTTGTCTTTGATTCCCACGTCAGTGTATCGACCTCAGCTGCAACGAGCTGACTGAGATCACGCTGCCAGAGTCACTCCCCCCAAAACTTCAGGAGCTGGACCTCAAAGGAAATCCCCGCCTCAACCTGGACCACAAGAGCTTGGAGCTTCTCAAGTAGGAACCTTCCTAATACAAAACCATGAGCAGTTCTTATTTTATACACACACACAAATGTTTCCTCCTTGTCTGTGCAGTAATATCCGATGTTTAAGGGTGGATCCGTCCCCGTCGGCTCCCAGCGCCAGTGAGTGTCACGGAGCTCCTGCAGTCTGGAGCCACGGATACACAGAAGCCTCCGGAGTCAGAAACAAGCGAGTCTTTTCCCTTCTCAGTTCATCTGCTCACGAGCCTTTTCAATTTTCGTGTTAACTCTCTTGGGCCTGTTGACATTCGGTGCAGGATGAAATGGAAATTGGGTTTCTCATTGTGGATCCAGTTTAAAAAAACATTTTTTTTTGTTTTGTTTCACTTTCCCCTCTGTTCCTGTCAGGTTGTGCGTGGCCGCGCTCGCGCTGGACACCTTCTGCGGAGTCCGTGAAGCACTGTACGGGGTTTTTGATGGCAACGGAAATGTCGAGGTGCCTTACCTGCTGCAGTGCACCATGGGCGATGTGTTAGCAGAGGAGCTCCAAAGGGGTCCGAGCCAGGCAGACTACATGACCAACACTTTCCTCGCCACGCAAAGGTCGACGAGTGATCGCTTCAACAAGCATTACGAAACATTTCCGCAGCGGCGTTGTAACCGAGCGCACCGTTTCTTTGCCGATCTCCCACAGGAAGCTGGGCACGGCCGGCCAAAGGATGGGCGGATCCGCTGCGTTGTGTCACATCAGACATGACCCCGTGCCTCCCGGTGAACACTGCGGCGGCGGCGGCGGCGGCGGCGGCTTCACCTTGACGGCCGCCAACGTGGGCGGATGCCAGGCGGCTTTGTGCCGAGATGGAAAAGCTATGCAACTCTCCGCCATCCACAGCGTCCGAGAAGAACTTGAGTGCCAGAGGGTCCGACAGCATAACGCCATCATCACGGAGGTAGCGATGAACCCTGCGCTCATGGTTGACGCGCGTCGTGTCGGATGCCTTTTCTCTCTTACTGAACCTTCCTTTATTTCCACCGAGCATCACGGTTTGTAACATTTAAAGTATTGCGCGGATCTCAATATGATCCTCCGCGCAACATCAATGCCATCGTGTTCTACCAGCCACGGAAAGTCAAGAAACGTGAACTCACGTCAGTGAAACGAGTTATTAGCCGGGGAAGCACATTCATTCTTCTCTCTCCGTAGGACAATAAAGTAAACGGCGTCACTGACTCCACCAGAATGATGGGCTATTCCTTCCTGTGCCCGTCCGTGACCCCCCGGCCACACGTCTCCACGGTGACGCTCACCTCGCAGGATGAGTTCTTTCTCCTGGGCAGCCGAGGGCTGTGGGACATGTTGTCTCCTAGCGAAGCGGTGGAAGCAGTCAGGAATGTTCCAGACGCGCTGGCCGCCGCCAAGAAGCTCGTGACGCTGGCTCAGAGCTACGGCTGCTCCGACAGCCTCAGCGCCGTCGTGGTCCAGCTCAGTATCTCCGAAGATTGCTGCTGCTTCAGCGAGCTGCCGCCCGCACCTCACAGTCCAGGTTTGTGTGCCCATGCGCACGCTCACCCCTACTTGGGGAGCGGCGACATATCGCTGCCGCCGGCCTCCTCGGGAACCGCGAGCGAGCTGAGCAGCGAGTTGAGCGCCTCCGAAATGAGCCTCGAGGTGGGCTCCACGGTATCGTCCGAAGAGCCTCCGCCTCAAGCCGAGCCGCCGCCCGCACCTCACAGTCCAGGTTTGTGTGCCCATGCGCACGCTCACCCCTACTTGGGGAGCGGCGACATATCGCTGCCGCCGGCCTCCTCGGGAACCGCGAGCGAGCTGAGCAGCGAGTTGAGCGCCTCCGAAATGAGCCTCGAGGTGGGCTCCACGGTATCGTCCGAAGAGCCTCCGCCTCAAATCTCCGGCGCGCTGTCCGACAACGGGCTCGACAGCGAGGACGAGGAGCCCATCCCGGGCGTCTTCTCGAACGGCAGCCGCGTGGAGGTCGAGGCCGATGTGCACAGCCTACGTGGCCGGGAACCGCCGCAAACGCATTCGCACCCCGGCACAAGTGTTCCTCGATCCTGCGCTTCCGGTCATGAGCCTTCACTTCCAGCCGTCACGCCGCCCTCCCCCTGCCTCGGCGGGGAGACCCGGTCGAGCGCCCCGGGCCGTCGGGCTCGAGCCAACGGTTCGGTGTCGTGCCAGGGCAGGAGTCAGGACCTCATCGAGGAAGCGGCAGATGCCCCCGTCAAGAAGCAAGGGGGATACTTTAATGCTCCCGCTCAGCCGGACCCTGACGACCAGCTGATCATTCCGCCGGAGCTGGAGGACGAAGTGCGACAGATCATCCAACGGCAGCAGATGGAGACTCGCGACCAGCAAGAGGCCGCCTACCAGAAACCCGCCGACCATTTCGTCACACCGCTCTGACTCCAAATCCTCGCTATCTGCTAGTGTGTCACTTTCTCCTCTTGGAATCCACCTGGAAATTACTGAAATCATTTGCGCTGCTTCCTCAGAGGATTCAAGTGGACCAGAGACTGTTAAAAAAAACAACCCAAAACTCTTTTCTACTCTTAACATTGTGCCCAACAAAATGCAGTGCAATTTTTGTCACACTTGTATTGATTTTGGCCGTTTTTCATTTCAAGAAGCATTGTAAATGCTTTTCAAGTAGAAAGGTAAAAAAAAAAAAAATCTTTGCAGTCATATGCGCTTTGTGCCCCCCCCCCCCACCCTCCTCCACACACAGTAATTTAAAGATGGCATTCTTCGGAATGTTGCGTTGTTAGAATATGAATGAAGCTGCAAAATCTAGCCTTTTTTTTTTTTTTTGCTGTCTCAGGGGGAGGCCATTTTGCCGCTTGCTGTCAACTGAAGATTGAATTGAAGACAACTTTTATTGTCAAATGTGCTGTACGTATGTGTAACATACAGCACAGATGAATGAAGATGACATCACAGTTGCTCAGGTGAAGACCAATCGCCAGCTTTGGTCACGTGTCATTGGCAAGCGGAGCTTTTCGGCCCTTTCATTTCATTTTCAGTCGACAACAAGGGTCAAAATGGCCGCCTGCTGAAATGAATGAAAACCAGCTGGATTTTGCTGCTTCAGTCATAATCCACAAATGCAGTATGGATCAAAATGCAGGGTTAAGACTCGGGGGGCCACATAGAACTTACTTTAAAGATTTTTTTTTTTTTGGTACCTTGAGGCCAACGGCACTCCTTTGTGGATGCTCAAACTTCCAGTCGCTCGTGGCTTTTGGCCTCTCATTTGACAGTTAGTAAAATGTCAACTAACTCCGAGGGGTTTTTAGTACTTTCCAGTGACCTAGTCACCAAAGCATGCTAATTTTCTCTGAGAGAAAAAGAAATATTTCACTCGGCTGTTACTCCGCGTTTGTGTTCTGAGGTCTGCCGCAGTGGTGAGTGAATGTCGAAGACGACGATGCTCCTGTTCAAACCAGCACATTGAATGTTATCGCGACAGTGACATATTTCAACTGGACGAGAAAGCTACTTTTCGAAATAAATGCAAGTTTTCATAGGATTCCGTGTTGACTGATTTTTTTTTTTTCCCCACAGATCATGATGATGAAAGGACGCAAATACATTTAAATGCTTATCAAAGTTTACATGGGTGGAACAAAAAAAAAGACTCCTGCTTATTTGAAGCAGAAATGGCCCAAATAATGTCACATAACTGACAAAGTAGTGCTTTAGTAGTTTATTTAGTGAAAAGATCACATTTGTGGAATAACCTCACTGCGCTGAATTTCTTCTGTCGTGGGGGTTGATTGAACAATGCGTGCTGTGTGACGGCACTGAGGTCATTCTTGGCTGGCAGGGTGACCACTACTGCAGGGCAAAGAGCCACCCTGGACTTTTAGCTTGAATCTTTCAACGTAGCGAAATGATGTTTTCAACAATGCCCGTATTTCCAAAAACATCGACATAAATCCAACATAACAAATAGCGAAGTCGACTACAGACAAGGCATGAGCCGATGACCGGCGTGCCATGGTTTTAAAACATCATCGTTTGTTGCTTAACGGTTAGCATTCTGTCAGAGTCTAATACCGGCCGGGCCATGCCTGCTCCAGACGCAGCTTTAAAATCCCAAAATTCTAATGTGATTCATTCTCAGTTTTCATTTTTAATTAGGCAGCATGTGCCCATCTCAGAGAGAGTGCAGTAGTAATAAAAATCACTTTAAAAAAAAAAAAAAATCGTAAAAATTCAATATTAAGCAAAACAAAATATCCTGACGTACTTAGAAAAGTCAAATGAACGTTGCAAGTCAGACGGTGGCTTTTGTTCCAAACTGCTCGAGCTCTTTGATTGGACCGAAGTAGGAGTCTGTCGCAAAATCCAAAAGGTCTCAGTCACACAGAGGTGGTTTCAGCCCTGAGCGGGGCTCTCTGCGGATGAGCTCTGGCTTGCTCTCGCTCCAGCTCGCGCCGTTTACGCTCCTGCAAGTACTGCTTCACCCTGCGGATGGTTTGGACGGTGAGCACGGCGCCGGCGGTGTACAGGATGGCGGTGATGAGTCCAAACAAAGCCACGGCCGCATCCGCCCCGCTGACCTCGCAGTTCATCCAGGTGTACCCGTTGCGCGCGTACAGCCGCTCGCGCTGAGCGCAAATGTCCGTGGCGTTGACCCCGATCACAAAGTGCAGGTAGAGACCGACGGCCGCCACGTAGGCGACGGCTCCCACGGCCTGAAACACCAGCGCCCCGTACAGAAGTTTACGAGACAAATGGTGCGGGGGCTTGTTGCCTGCGACCACAAAGAGCAGCGAGACCACGCCCATTGTCAGGCTGAAGGCGATGCCGCCGTAGATGCCCGGCGCTCTCATCTGGCTGTACTGCATGTCCAGTTCGCGCACCTTCTGCAGCTCCGTGCCCTGCAGGTTGAAGTTGGAGTTGATGTCGAAGCCGCCGAGCCCGCCCATGGAAGATAAGCCCGATGTCACCATCTGAGCGGCGACCACACAGATCAGCACCAAGGCGTTGGTCAGCACAGAACAGATCAGAACGATTCCTGAAGACACGAGACATTCAGAGCGGTATCAAGTTTCCTTGTCGTAGAACTGCTCCGAAAATGGAAATCAAGCACTGGCGAAGAATGCTGACAAGCTATTTTTGTAACTGCAGAATTCACGGTCCCGTCAATCACGGCAAGTCAACCAGGTCCTGAATGAATGGAGCAGCCCCAGACCATCACTCTGACACATCTATGTGTGGCTATAGGCGTATGATGTTGCTGCGTTATTTTTACGTTGCATGCAATGTCAAACACACCTTCAAAAAGTTCATTTTTTTGTCTCGTCAGTTGACAGAAAATTTGATCAAACCTCTTTGGGACGGTGAAGATGTTTTGTAAACGTGACATAAGCTTTTCGGTTCTTTCCTGTCAATAGGGAGCAGTTGCGCAATCAAAGTCCCCCATTGACATCGAGGCCTGTGGTTCTTTGGATGTCCTTTTGAGTTCTTCAAGTATAATTTAAATATCGTATATGCCGACTCTCCACCGGCAGCTTTTTGTACTTCATGAAACTGACAAAGAGGTGGCGAACGCAGGAAAACCAGTTGGACGGTGTTTAGACACAGAAACCAGAAAGGAAGTATGCATCATGAAGTCACAGTCCGCCCCTCGACGCTGCACAAAGAAACGTCCACAGTCAGTCTCACCTCTCCTGGAGCACATGTGTGTGCATTTGGAGTCGTTACGTTGGACACGCGCGACGTCCCGGTCCCGCGCATGTTTGGGATGGCGGTCGAGATCCCGGTCGTAGTACGGCTGTCGGGATGGCGACCTGGAGAATGACGACAAAGACGTTCATTCAAATCCTCAACGCGAATTAAAATTGCCAGTGTATACACCTGTCAGCTGATGAGCGGTCGGCATCGCGTTGTCCACGGGGCTGCCGGTGATCCCCGTTTCTCTCCCTGTGGCCCCGGTTTGAACGGGGTGCTTGGCTCATTGCTGAAAATGGAAAAAGACACGAAAAGACCAGAAACAATTGAATCGAATGTCACGGTCACTTTGGTTCATCATAGTTTGTGAATGACTTCCATTTAGAAGCAGTCGAATCTTAACCTGCAGATGACGACAACATTCTTATTACGAGTTTGGTCAGGCTCAAGTAATTTCTGTGACCATTCATGAGAATTTTCTTCCCGTGACAAACGGATATCAACAGTTCCATTCATTTTTCACGGGGAAGGTGTGAGAACAAGTGGCCACTGCAGATGTCAGGAGAAAATCTTTCTCTTGTAAAACCAACAAGAATATACATATTTTTTCATTTCCAATCAGTTGGTGCAGTCACAAGACAACGCTGCTCTCTAAGTGACTCGCAAAAGTTCACGGTGTAGAACAGAATTTAGAATACTTTATTTTGGGAATGCCCGTAAAATCCAAAAGACTTTGATGAAAAAAGTCGCATTTTTCTGCTATCAAGTGACCTTTTTTTAAATATAGAGGGAAATATTTGGCGACCGTAAAATCCCAAATCTTGGTGTGACAACAGGTCAAGATGTGCACGTGAAGTTTCGTGACGATTGGTCATCATTTTGTGCCGGACTCCGCCCCTGCCGCGGCCGCTCATTTCTGAGGTGAACGACGAGCACCTGAGGTGAGTTAAAACGCCAAATCATCTGAAGTGTGTACTGTACTCGCAGGCAAATTTTGCGAAAAGTTGGAAAAACAAAGTCTACAACCGAAAGTTCGCTACCCCCTCCCCCTCCACCCACGCACACACACGCACACCCTCCCCCAAAAATCGATTACTGTACAGTAAACTCAAGGCTGTCAACAAGGTGTAGCCCAAATTGAACATGTATGACCAGGTGAACAAAACTACCGCTGACTGAAATGTCAACTTACTGTGAAGTCGGTGTCCGCGCAGTGAAATGCGACTATATCGCCATTATGGCGCGTATGCAGCAAGCCAGGTAAGCCAAAAAGGAAGGTGGCGGTGCCCCACCCTCTTGAAAGAGAAGGCGGGCGAGGAAAGAGTTGGGGGGTTTTCCACATTCAACGTGGCAACAACGATGGCAACAACGTAAGCGCCAACGGACTCTCAGTTTAATGCTGCATTCGAAGAAGGTGGGAAATCGGAATTATCCCACTCAGATTGTCCCAGTTCCGACCTCGGTGCTGGAGGCCAATGTAAACAACAGAGATGGCTGATTCCTTTCAGTTGTTTGTTGTTCTGGTTCATTACGACGCACTTTGACCTTCAGCAAACATTCTTCACAATTACCTGATAAATAAATGAATATCTTCTCTTCAAAGAATGTAATTCAATTCACCCAATCAGTTAACGCACGTTTACTGAACTAATGTAATAATAAATAAGTAAAGTTAGATATGTGTTGACAATCTTAAATTGCTTCGGAATTCATGGTCTGTGTCTCCGTGGGGTCGCCATCCTCGAGCGATGTCAAATTGCATTCGGTAGGTGAACTGGGGGTCCTTTTTCCGAATTCGTTACTCGGATTTCCCAGCTCATGTGGGCGTTATTGTGCACTTTTCCTCATCGAAAGGGGGGAAAGTCCAACTTTCCACTGTCCGCGAATTCAGCATTAGCCCTAACAAGGGGGCGTGTCATGTCAATATGACGCCACAAGTGTTTTGTTCAAGTTATGATGCGTCACAGGTCTCTGGCCAATCAGACAAACAAAACATTTGCCGTCCTCAGAAATGAATCTCCAACAATCGATATTACGATTATTCACTGCACGGCACTCCCTCCACTTCAAAAAGCGTAAAGTTGATACATTATCTGCTCTACTATTTTACATACAGAATATACGGTACTGTACATACAATGGCACTATGCTGACTGAACACTGGGTGGCGGTAATCAACATATCACGACAACGGAAACATTTCCGGTGTTTGTTGTGGCGTCACCAGGGCCAAGTTAAATCATATTTTTGAGGTTATCTCTAGTTGTTGTGCAGGTTACACAAAGTGTCAAGTTGAATTCACTATTGCGGTGTTTACGTTTGAACAAAAGTGCATTTTGGTGTTGGGCTCATGTTGTTACTTCGGACTACTGCCGCGCTCGTCAGCCAGCGTCTGGCAGTTCGACGCTGCACGGCCGCCGGCGAGAGGAGGCTCACAACCACCGCCGCTTACGTCCAGGGTCAGAGCCCTGAACCACGCATTCGAGAATACTTCTACTATATTGACCACCAAGGGCAGGTGAGTGTTGTTGCTGTTTTCGCATATAATCTTCACAGCGAAAATGTCCCTTCAACGAATGTTGCCTTTTGTGATTTTCTTGGCAGTTGTTCCTTGATGACACCAAAGTCAAGAATTTTGTCACCTGTTTCAAAGGTACAGGAAAATTCGTGTACTCGTGTTTTTTTTGTGCCTTTTAGATTAGTAAGAACAATTCAAATTCTTTCTGTATAATTGCAGATGTGGACGTAGCATGACGGCCAGAGGCATTTTTGTTCTCTGCTCCAGTGTCTAAAATGTGACCTCGTATATGATTGCTTTCAATACATTTTTGATTGCTCCATGTGATTAGGCAATGTAGGTCCTATGCCGGATGATATCAGGTTCATTTGTGGTCAAAATATCATATTAGTTTGGGAATTGTAATAATTTTTAAATTGTGCCTTTTAGATTAGTAAGAACAATTCATATTAGTTTGGGAATTGTAATAATTTTTAAATTATTGTAATCAGAAATCTTAAAAATGCGAATTGGGTGCACGCACTCCCATTAATAGCTGGTTGAATGTTCCGTTGCGAGTTTCCCGAAGCTTTTGGAACAAGCTTCTGAAGTCATTCCGGTGATGGGATGTGGCTTTGTAGTAGTTCTCATTCATCCTCATCTTGCATTACCAGACAAACAGTTCCTCGTCTTCTTCTTCAGTCGTCTCCGTTTAAACCAGAGTGGGCGCTACGAGGACGACTTCCCCTTCCTGTCTCCTTGTGGGCGCGAGAGGAACTTCCTGCGTTGCGATGATCGACCAGTGGTCTTCACCCACCTGCTACAGGACGCTACCGGCGACCGGGACTTGCTGTCGTTCTGCGGCGGCGCAGACAAGCTGACCGTTTCCTTCAACCCCGAGGCGCTCTTCATGCACCCGGCCACCGGACGAGTTTACCACCCCTGCTCCGAGCGAACGGGCGGCGTCGGGCTGGTGAAGTCATCGCTGGCTATCGAGCTCAGCCCGTCCTTTGTCTACGCTTCCGAGCGAGGTCAGTCAGGACCACCCACACACTTCCTATGGAGGAAACGGCAGCACGTACTAAGCAATCAGCTGGCAGGATGCTTTGCCATAGAAGAGGACGACAGTGGAGCTGGAGAGGGATAATGTCCAGAGAGGAAAGATAAAAAAAAAAAAGTGATTTTGCACAGTCTTGTTGAAAGGCTAATGGACAAACACTTTAGTGAATATTATGAATTGACGTATCAATCATAAAGGAATATTGTGTTTGCATTGGTTTGATCCCGAATCTAAGAAATAAGCTTTGACGTGGTCGTTAATTTAACGAGCCCCATCGGACCCCTCCAACGTTGACCACAAAAGAAATTTAAAATGCTCCCCATTTATTTTCCAAGACAAAAAAAAAAACCTTGGGAAATGTCAAGTGCTGTTCGTATTGACGTGATACACAGCTCGGCAGTCGGCATCAATACTCGTGCTAACACTCAAATGTCGCCTCGTCCAGCGACAAAATATGTGATGAGAAAACCACATTTATTTGTAGTTTTGAGACTGAATGTTACCCGGTACAGCTTCCCCTTTTTCACTTGAACAAGGTCACTGCAGCCAACACTTTCATTTCAACACCGGTAGAGGGCGATGTCAACTCGCTGAAAAAATGTCGAATCTGACCTCGTCACTTCAGTTATCGTTGCAGTCAATGTTGATGATGACTTTGTTGAGGAAGAACGTGCACAGAAACTTGAGTTCGTACTTTGCCCCCTTGATTGCCCCCCCCCCCGCCAAAGAAAAGTCAGATTTTATGATCTAATACTGCATTTATTTAACGCCTTGTTAAAAGTAAACGCATATGCAGTAAAGCTCCTGTGGCCTTTTTTTTTTTTTGGTGCACACGTTAACAGCTCGTCCGCCTCTGACGAGCAACGGTCATAAATCACCATCGTCTGCAGCGTCCTAAATGTCACTACAGTAACAAAATAGAATGTATTGACTGTGTTTTCGTTTTGCTGCCAAGGGCCGGTGTCTTGGACTTGTTTAGGCGAGCCATAAAATCTTGTAGAGTGGATTTATCATGTCTCGGCCTGCCTGTAAAAGGAAGTCAAAGTGTTCCAAGAGCAAGAGAGATCGGACCCTCGTTGGTTCAGTCATTCCCTGTCTTGTGTTCTGTTCTAGCAAGAAACTGTGGTGAAGTCTTGCTCGGGTCTAACCCCAAAGACAACTTTCATTCTCTTTCTGACCTGAGTTGAAAGAATAAAAAACTGAATAAGGTCATATTTATTATGAGTCCCTTTTAGCAAGGCTCATATTCTAAGCATAAGAAAAATCGACAAGTTGCTATGGTTATTCTAACGCTACCAAGGGACGCTGATGGATATGAGTTTTTTTTTTTTTATTTAAAGTCCTGATTAATATTCTCACACAGTTGAACCTCGTTACGACGTACCTCGAGGGACATCACGAATCTGAATGTTAGAACCATTTCCAACAAAATGGCCGCCAACTGCTATGTATAATTTAGTTTGAACATTTCAATGTCAATTCCAAATAGGTGGACGTGAATGGGGAAAAAATGATTTTGTTACCGCGATAACGTACCCATTCATTCTGTCGCTTGAGGTCCGTTGGAACCCGGTTTGACCGTATGGCGAGAAAGTGGCTCAATTGGCGACACTGACTGACTGACTTCATGCTAATCTGCCACATTAAACTTTCCAAAAGGCTGAGAGGGAGGAAGAAGAAGACATGAAAGCTTCGATCCGAGCGGAAATCGGGCTGAGAAAAAGACACCGCGAATACAAACACCCACAAAATTCCAACTCCAATCTATTTCCACATGATGTCAATTACAATCAGCAGGTGAGTGATACATTTTGGAAAATAAACCTTAAATGTCCCGAAGAATCATCAACGTTTTTAGATTTCCAAGCATATCTTTGCTGCAGACAAAAAGCAATTTGAAGTCTCGCATGAACATTTCAAAGGGACCTTGACCTCCTTTTGTTTTGAGCGGCTCCTTTGTTCCTTCATTTCATCATCTCAAGACGTTTATTAACTTCCTTCATTCATGATTTCATGTTCAGCTCACAAAACAAACAAGCCCAAAAAGGACTCAACAAGGAAACTACAACTACAAAAAAAAAAAAAAGAAGCTGTTTTTCATCACCAGACGATAAGACTTTGAGATACTTCACATGCTCACACGTTTTCTCGAAAACACTTGCGTTGGTATAAAAGGCACAACCAATTTGCATCATTTTGAGTACAAAAAAAAAAAAAAAGACTTCGCTCAGTGGTTGCAATAAAGATTAAAAAGGGCAACGTGGCCACTTCTTGTGATTGAAATATTTTTGACAGTCGGGACACAATCGGTGCAGCATCGCTGCGGCGCGGCTCAGTGGGAGAGTGGTCGGTCGTCTTCCAACCAAGAGGGGCTGAGGGGTCGGATCCGCCGCCAATGTGACCGTTTCCAAATGTCCTCTAGCAAGATAGCGAACACGCGTCAGCCGTCGGTAAACGGTGGGAAGCGCTTTGGGTACCAAAGGTAGAAAAAAAGCGCCATACAAGTGAAAAGTCCATTGAACTAATATTAGCGGTGCACGAAAATATTGCGAGCTGCAGCCAATCAGATTGCCGCTGGGCTGGTCCTGCCTAGAGATCCGCTGAGATTCCTAAAAACTCCACAAGGAGCAGCATTCGAGTGAAGTGTTGAATTAGTTTTCATTTGATGTAATTGTCTCATAAAAAAAAAAAAAAAAATGTCAATTTGAAGGACAACATTACCAGAGTCAAGGAAGGACTTGGACTCAACTCTTTCCCAGTTTGCAGGAGCTCCAAATCTTACCGCATGACATTTGAGAAGCCAGTTCCAAGCAGCTACTGGAAAAGGTTTGCCGGCGCGACCATAAAACGAGGAGCTCGTAATCCCGGCCAACAAAGACGGTTCAGGATGCGCGGCCGGCTCGCGTGACAAAGAGACAAAGACACCAGCTCGGAAATAGACTGCGAGTAGCGAGTGAAACTCAAGTGGCTTTTTCTCAAAAAGGAGCCCGGCTCCGCATTCCTTTTCGTGACGCGGCCTCGGCCCTAACAACGGTCGTCTCTGTGTTTTCTGGGAACTTCTGTTGGCTTCGGAGGTCAACAAGTCCCCTGCGGGGTCCCATCGTTCACTTTGAGAGGCCGCTTGTCGACCTCGCTTGGTCATTTTTAGGGGAGGGTGGGGGTGGAATCTGCTCACAACTGCAATTTGTGCCCCCCCCCCCAAAGGCACGGGCCACATCTGGGGTGTCCAAACGATGGCCTGGGGGCCCATCGCGGCCCACCCTCCATTTTTCAGCGGCCCGCGTCATGACCAAAAAAAAAAAAGAAAAATGATATTTAACACAGGCCAAAAGGTCAGCTAAAAAAAAGGTGAAGGTGGGCCGAGTCGGAAGGGAGCTTGTCAGAAAAAGTGGTACTATTACATTCTTTTATGTACTGTCGAATTTTTCTTGATATTCAAACACACAAATAAACCATTGATGATGGGAAGAACCACAGAATGGATCTTTTTAACCAGCTCACTTTCGATACATTCATTTATCCGTCAATCAATCAATGCCTCCATTCAGCCGTGTGCACGTTTTTGCAAAGGGAAACGTTCACTCAGCCGGGGATGCTCCTCCATGGAACATCTTCACTCTATTTTGCTGCAACATTTTCGAATCTCGACAAACACAACCAATATTTATTTATTTTTTGGTATGTTAGTTGGATGTGAATTTCAATGGATGTCAACATTTGGAACCAATGGCTAACAGCTCAAAAGGGAATTTTAAAATCTCCGGTCCACCGGTCTGCCCCCTTCTCCTTACGTGAGCATTTATTTCATCCCATTTCCTCATCCCGTTTTTTTTTTTTTTTTTTGCACCCTTCACTGTTGCATTTGCGCTTCCTTCATTATCAAGGCAGATATGTCAGTAAAAAGTACAAGTGGTCATTTCTCCTTTTCAACCGTCAAACACCTTCTTCTTCTCTTTTGACGTCTCGTTTTAAATGTGCCACATTTCTCTTGAGACGGACTACGTGCAGTTTTCCAGACACCAAACCGCCCTGAGAAGCTGGACTTTTTGACTGTCAAAGCTTTTGAAATGTGACCGAAAAACACATTAGCTCTCTTCCCGGTTTTGTTCCCTTTTCCAAGAAATTCTGGAGCCGGCCGGTCTGTTTTCTCCAATGCTTTCGATCGGCGGGGAGCGTCACGGGTTTGCGCCACCCGACGAAAATGAAGAGCAAGCGGAATCAAACTGCGACGGCGTCTCGGACTCAGTCAAAGGACAGCAGATCCGGATGCGGCTCTGCGTCCTCCAGACTCGGCGAGTCATCTTTCCCGCTTTCGGCAACGGAGGCCTCCTCGCTCAGGCTGAGGCGGCGGCGAGTTTTGCCCGAGCGCGGCGTGGAGGTCACGCCGGAGTCCACATCCAACGGCCCCTGCCGCACGTCGCAGGTTTTCGCTCGGGCCTCGAGTAACGGAGGATCCTTGTTGAGGAGGTCTGGCACGGAGGGATGAAGCTGCTGTTCCTCGGCGTGTCCTCCACTCGACTCTTCTGCGCGCGTCTCCGCGTCCGCCTTTCCATCGCTTCCCGCGATCTCCGTCTCCCCGACTGCCGAGGTCCCGTCGGCTCGCTCCACAGCGGAGCTGAAATCTGCCGACCCGTCGTCCAGCTCGCCGTTCTGCGCATCCTCCTCGGTGATGAGGGGCGTCGTTATGGGGGAGGAGATCGGCGAGGACAAGTCCGCAGCATCCGGAGAGGAGACCACCGGGTCGGAGGAGATCATCATTTCCCGGGTGGTCATCAACGCCCGAGGGAGACGCTTCTTTCCCGACGGCGGCGGCGGGTCAAGCCGAGGGATGGCGTCGAAGGGAAAGTGACTGAAAGTGGAAAGCGTTGTGTGTTTAACGTGTTATTATCGGCATTAATTTACATGTTTTTATCTCGATTAATTTTTTTTAATCGTGAGATTAATGCAGCACCACGTTACAGCTGTTATATTGCTCTAAAATAACGTGCTCCAAGTTTGAATAACTGCTCCTGATCCTGATGCAAGATGATTGGCTGCTTGCAAAGATCACTGAACTGGCCGCCTCTTTGAAGTTCACGACGAGAGGCCAGCTGTGATGATACTGTGATATTTTGCTCACGTCAGAATCGAATATCGGCCGATGCCTCGTCACAAATATTGACAGTGATGATGTCGGGAGTGATAAGTCAAGTCGGCACTATACATGCATTCGTGCACTCGCCACACAAACAAAGAAAGGAAGGAACACTTAATCGCCACTCTTGGCTGTCTAAGCTCCCGGGGGCCCTGCGAAATAATTTGCAATGCATTCATGAGGGGGTGTCTCATTAGCCCCAAAAATAAATAAATAAACATGCCGCAGTCAATGCGCACGGAAACCACTGCATCAACACGACAAGCCACCTGAGTGAGTAACTCTCACGTAGATTAACTTGAGGCAAGTCATAACGCCAAATTGCTCCCCGCCGTCTTGGCGTGCAGCCAAAGGTGCACGAGGCTCCTCCCGCCAGCTGCTTTCTTGTTACAAACGCGAGCGCTGGGCGACTGCATCGTGAGCCCCCAATGCCAAGCAAGCCGAGCCTTTGGACAAAATAGGACAGCGGCGCCGCAGAAAGCGAGCCTGCGTGCACGATTTCTTTGCGATTGGAGTGGGCAATGTGTGTGTGTGTGTGTGTGTGTGTGTGTGTATATGACAAGTGCCTAATTCAAATAACATAAGCCTAACAACTGACACGTCATAATTGTTTTTTTGGTTTGTTTTTTTTAAACCAGTGATTTGAGGACAGTATACACAATTAGAAGGGAATAAAAAGGACTTTTGATGGCAAATGTGACAATCTGTTTCCGACTTGTCATGTTCCAAGACAACGGACGCGTGCGCTTATGAATGTGTGAGAAGAGCAGAGAAGCTAAAATATGCCCCTCATAAAAGTTTTGCTTATTTCGACGAGTGCTGCCGATACAGCCGCAGGGACTCACTTGCAATCTCTGGCCGATTTTAATAAGGCTTACACGGGACCGACAGTTAAGTTGTGTAACAAGGAGGCCTCTCGCTGATGTTCGGGTGAACAAACTTGGAGCCGTTCTAATTGGACATTTCAGAGGCTCAGGCATCGTTGGTTCAAAATATAATTGCTGAAGCGGCGACGAACGATATTAGGTCGGAGAGTCGAGATTGTGAGCGCATGAAAGAAAGAGTTTTCAAACCAAGTCTTTTTGCGGCGCGTCAAAGCTTTTTGGCTCATTTCGGATGCTGCATCTGCTCGTCGGCCACCGACGGGCTCTTTCTTTTATTGAGTTCAAGGCCGTTGCTGACTTCTTCCATACTTGAAGAAAAAGAAAATGCTGTCGGCATTGTGCAGCGAGAGAGAGCGAGCGAGAGGGACACCTTTGTTAAAAGTGTCACAATAAACCAGGGATGTGACGATATCCAAATGTGACTCATCATCAATATGATATCATACGATCATGATCGCGATACTGTAAGGAGGTTGGCGTTATTACTAAAACGCTTACGAAACTGTCTAAAAATGGAGGCCATCGTGTTTTGTACGTGAAAGCAGCCACGACAAAGAAATAGGCTCAGCCACTCATTTTATGGTCATGCATCAGAATGACGGAATTGAAATTTCCTGGAGAACAAGTACGAGTGGTATCGGTACACGGTATCGGTGGCTACTCAAAAGTGAATACCCGCTCTGGAAAAAAAAAAAAAAAGAAAAAAAGTGGTATTGAACATCCCTAGGAAAAAAAAAAATCGGAGCATCGTACCTGTTTGCCGAATTCTGGCCGAGTTGGTCCATGCAAGTCCACGCGGCCGCAGCGTTTTTGTTGACCTCGGTGACGCCGATGTCCCCCACGTGGCTGGATTCCTTCCTCCTCAACAGGTCATTCATCTTCAAGGGTGGAAGGAGGAGTCAAAATGTCAAGCGCTTCACTTTCACCATTTCGAGACGAGCGAATCGCCGACGCAAGGCCGACCTTTGCCCCCACGGCTTTGCCCAGATTGATGGCATTTTTCAGCCTCTGTTGGCCTCCCGAGGAAGGAGAGTCCGACGAGCCAGCGCCCAGATTGGCGTTTGGGGACGCTGGGGTTCTTTTGGCCGAGGGCTGGCCTTGCCTGCTGGTCTGGGGACTCTGTTGCTGGGCAACAGAATTCTCAAACATGCTTTGGTCAACTGCGGACAGAGAGAAGGAGGAGTAAAGGGCGCCGCCAGCGGAGAGTCTCGATCGCCGTCGAGTTCGGAGTCGTCGCCCCGTCTATGATGTCGTCCGTCTACGTTGCGGTGCTTTTGGCATGATGGGGAGGGACAACAATGGTTTGAAACGTTTTGAAAGATGCCGATTAAAAGTTGGCGCTCCCCACAGCAAAGAACACTTTGTGATTTACGATGGCTTCGGGGTGGATGATTTCTTTAAGAGCGAGATGACATCGGGACGTGATTGATGCCACGAGCGAACGGCACCCCGGTTCGAGGCTCCAGCTTGCAAGAGGCAAGCAACACTTGATGAGAGAAGGCATGCATGGAGCGGGGGAACAGAGGGACGGTAAAACACAACGAGATGCGACGGAATTCACTCGAGATGCAAGGTCTTACCTCACGGAGAGAAAGGTTTCTCGGAAGGCGAGTCATGAAACACAAAGCGGTCACATTTCAGACCATTTTACAAATGACGCATATCTGGGCCGATTGTCGTTTCATCGCGGAAACGCCTCCGATTCGTGATGCGTCAGGGAGCGGGGTGAGGGAGCCTTGGCGGCACCGCACCCGCACGTCCGAGTGCTACGTTGTCTTGGCCGGATAAAAGCGAGGGAAAAATATTGCCATTTGAAATCCGATGGAGCCACAAAATCTGGCAAGAGCAGGTACAACCTTGACGCCAGGCTGCATGCGCAAGCATTTTACTTACCGTTGTCCCCGAGAGATCGACAAAAGTACATTAGCCAGAGGGCCGCGGCAAATGTGATCAGGCACGAGGAATCGAGCACGACACGCAAATGAGGAAGGAAATATGAGGAGAAAGGAGAAACAATCACATGCGTGCGCGATGACAGTCATCGACTCGACTCAAGTGTATTTCTAGAGCACGTTCAAACATCCGCCCCTGTCGACCGAGTGCTGGACATGCAGCAAAAAGAATTCGTACAACAACACACAATCAATGAATAGCGAGGACGGTCGAAAGCACAAAAACGGTCCAACTCAAAATCAAATCTCATGCTGAGCCAAAAGCCAAAGACTTAAAAATGAGTTTGAAGACCAGTATTAAAGATGGTGCTGGGGGGCTTGCCAAAGGTTCAGCGGGAGGTCATTCCAAAGAGGGAGCGGCAACGAAGTCTCCGCTTAGTTCTCGCCACCTCTAATAGCGTCTGCTCCGCAGACCTGAGGCACCGCCCAGGAGGTTTGTACCTCTCAGAGAGGTAAGGTGGGGCACCAGGCCATTAACAAAAGGACTCTAAAATGTATCGGAAGCCAGTGAAGGGATGCCAGAGTTGGAGAAATGTGCTCCCTCTTATGAGTACCAGCTGAGAGGCGAGCGGCAGCAATGTGGACCAACTGGAGACGCTTCATGGAGGATTGACTGATTCCAAAGTCAAGTGCCAGTTCAAGGAAGAGAAACGTTACGAAGGACAACGCAGAGAGAGGAAATACGCTCTCCCTCTCTGCAGTATACACGTTATGTAAAATACAGTGCAGTCGTGTACAATGGCTGAAATATTCCCAAAGCCACAGAGGAATGCCGACTGCGAGGTTACTACTGAAAACGACACCACGCTAAGCTGAGCAAAACACAGCGCGACCACCCAAGGCAGGCATAAGGCTGTGCGTACGTAAAAGACAACTCGTATGAGTCGTCGCGACCCGGTTGGCGGTTTTATTCAGCAAAGTACATCCGAACGTCACTATTAAATAAAAGCTTCATTTCACTGTTGTTTTATGATCGGCAATAAGCGCACAATTTAACGGTGTTTTATGAGCCAGCAGAAATGCTGCGGACGATTAGACGAGGGGCGCAAAAAGCGCGAGTAATGTCCCATTTCAGCGGGAAGATTTACTGCAGCTACTGGGCAATTGGCTCCAGCGTACATCGGTCGATTTGCCCCAAACGGCCAGATGACGTGCAATAAACACTCAACTGACAAAAGAATCATTTCAGCGTGTGAATAGAGGACAGTCCAAGGAAGGAAATAAAATAGGATTTGGAATCAAGACCACCGTCGGTCACCATTATTGATCGGTTGACATATGGGATGCATTGTGGGGGGTCCCCCACACTTGTTCATATGTAGGCCAAATAACTTCCTTTCTCTGATGGGGGGGGGGGGGGGTAGTGTTTGGGTTGCA